ACAGAGACAATCAATCACAAGCAAAGCCACCGGTATGAATCTCATAAGTAGACAAGTTTGTTACTTTTATCCAAGTTAAACTATGATTGCAGAGGTTCAATGTTCTATGTTTTTTCTAGCAGTTTTATATTTTAACTATTATACAATATTGTTTACAATTTATAATCACTAGGCATTTTCGAATTTGTATGAAAAAAAACACGATAAAGTATTCATGTGTATACGTATACGTTAGCATCCTTCTTTGATTATTACATAACAAACTTGAAATCTAAATTTTGGCAGATTGTGCATGATAATAATAATAATAATTATAATACTTGTTTAATTAATTAATATTAAAAAAAGGATGAACATTCAATGATTTTAGTTGGCATGAAATGAATACCAAAAAACAAGTAGGCGAAATAAACAATAAAACCAGTAGAGAGACAAACGCAATCATCACCGCCAACAACACAACAACAATATAAATAGAGAGAGACAGAGAGAGGGAGAGAAATACATAACTCAAATATGCATCTGACTTAGAGACAAATGAAATGGGAGATGATTCATTGATTGAGTTTACATTTACAAGTTGTTCTTGTTGTTTGGATACACAACAATAATAATAATAGATGTGATGTTATGTTGATATAACATGGTGAATAAGAGATAAGTGGCGGTTAATAATGAATAATAGAGAACAGGCATTGAAATGGAATTCGTATAGCTCAGAGGGTAAAGAAAAAATATTATTAAACTGAAAAAAAGGAAAGGCGTGGTTCTTATTTCAGTTGATTTTTAAAAAAGAAAACAATTTTGGAGAATTTTTTTTAATAGAGAAAAAGAATTCAATAAATTGATTGATTAAGACAATAATAAAACAACAGTTTATAAGTAGGGATATATATTTATGGAAATTTATTAATAGTCTACAGATAATTGGACAAAGTATATAAAATTGTACTGTTAAACTCATTACAGAAGTACTGATACAGAGATTGGAAGCTTCATTTATATCAGTGATCAAGCCAAAGATATGGGTTCGTTGTGTAGACGGCACATTCATCATTGTTATGCTCGACTCTAGGTATGCTTCAACTAATACGAGTTCACCTTAGTCGAATAACGAGAAAAAAACAATGAACCAGCGTTCAGGTAGGCTATTGTGATCCCTTGACCAAATTTAATCAACAAGAAGTCTTGGTATAGTGTAGACATTGTATTCTACAAACACCCAGCCAGCACACAATCAATCCAAGCACTCAAAATGCGTTCATTTATACTCTATAGAGATATCCTTGAGAAAGTCACAAAAGTAGCACACTAAAATGACACAGTACCCAATCACAAGCAACGATTTTCCTGGTGGTGGGAAATGTGATCTGAAGGTCAACTGATCAGTCAGTGAAATAAATCCAAATAAAGATATTTATCAAGCGAATTCCGGGGATCTAAAATCCCCAACAATCATCATCAAAAGGAACAAGACGAAGAACCCCTACAATCTGATCCACAATGTCTTTGATGACATAAAGTTCACAATGAAAAAGGAGTCAAACAACAAGTTATCACTTTTTGATGTATTACACACGAGAATTGAAACAGGAAAACTAGAGACTTAAGCATATCGGAAGCCAACACTAACACAGTAGCAACAACCACCCAAGAACTCACGAAATCAACTGCGTACAAGCTTTACTCAGGAGAGCAAACAAACATTGAAGCATACGTGAAGCACTGAAAAAAACGAAGAAAAAAGTATCTGATGACCATCTTTCAGAGGAACGGCTATTCATGCAACTTCATCAAAACATATCAACCTAAACCATTGGCAGAAGCGAAATCAAGTACAGGAAGCAACCAAAGGATCATCCTTTCGTAAATAAAATGCATACAGGAAAATTGTAGCAAGATTACTAAAAGCCGTTTGGAATAGGTGTCGCACATAAACCAACAAAATCACTCAAATCAATCTTAAGTAAACTAAAGGAAAAAATGACAAATAAAATTATGAAAAAAACTACACTAAGCAAAGTGGATGTCCTCTCCAGCTTTGCCTACATGAACATCAATTGGTAGTCACACGCCATGACATTTCTTTCCCTATATCAATAGATACAGACAGCTGTTGATATATATTCGATTGGAAAAATACTGAAATGCTGGATAGATAGGATACAAAGAACACTAGAGAATTTTTAAAAGCTTGGCATGCAGATCAATTGGCAATCAACAAACACATCAATGTTGATTCAATTTATCAACCAATCAGAAAAATCATAGACAAGCACACAATGAAGTAACAAATTAAACGGGAATACAATCAAAATAAAGAGACAGAGAATAAGAGGTTAAAGGTCAATAACGATCAATCGAGACTGAGGTCAACAAGGGAAGCTACGAGTCAAACGTGGAGAAATTCGAATAATTCCCTTCTATCTGAAGTTTATGCTGATGACGTTGTTCAGAAGAACAATCAAAGCTCCACAACCAAAACACATCCAGCTCAGAGAACGAAACTCCACCATAATCATCCACCTGAGCTACAATTTTTCTCTACCATCTCACAAAGATCCCTAGTTTGCAGTGAGACTAACTTATGATGAATACAACCAATGAATCAAACATAGCCCCAAAAAATTCCTTCAACTAAAGTACATTTGTGTAGAACAAATAAAAATGAATGAATATGTATCAGTTGTTAGTCGATTGCCGATGTGATTATCTCAGTCCTATAGAAGGTTAACTGTGACCTGAATAAATCATTGTTAATGTATCCCTCGTCAATTGATGGATTGAATGATACAGGTTCGAATATTTGATGATAAGTCTATTTCATAAACCCTAGGGGTTAGGGTCTATGTCAGGGAATTCTTACAGTCCAACATAGAAGTGCTGACAGTAAATTTTTTTTTAAAAAATAGCACCAAGTGAACGAATATCATAAACTATTTCAGCTCAGAATCAAAAGAAGATAGTAATGAGAAATAATGCTTTTTAATAATTCTACTATTAGATCAGTTTCTGTATATAAATTAAAAAAGAAAACATTTCAGTGTACTCTGTTAATTAACTATAAAACAAATGTTATACGTTGTGAAGTACTTAAATCTAAGAGAGAACAAAAGTTAAGTTATATCGAAAATTTCATGAATTGAACAAGCTGTAAAAAATAAAGAAATTATACTATATTTCAAGTGTACTAGTGTAGTCTACAGCTACGAAGATCAATACAGTATTATAACAAAAAGAAACAGTAACAATGGAGTTTTCTTTATCAACTCTATTAGACCATTTAGTAATCTATATTAACTTGATTTGTAAGTAGAGATATAACAGAAGGTCTGAGAAGGTGGAGAAAATTTATAGTTCAGGTGAATGAAACACTACCACAAAACAGGAGGGTTTAACCAAACAACACTTAACGTGATAAATACAACACCGTTTATCAGCTGAGTTAGAGACGCTATCGATTTAAATGACGTAATTATAGTAAAATTAGATAATAAGTAGAATATTTTTAAAAAAGTAACTAAATACATAAATCAGAACTGGTCCGAAAACAGAATGAGGGTTGTGAACAGACTTGTAGAAAAATTACGCGAATAGTTGGATGTTCAATACTTTTGACACAACTCAATTTACAATTGTGAAACATTGAAACCACATACGTCAATATATCAAAAATTCCATAATTTTTAGTTTTTTTTAAATAACTTATTTGAGTGTATAAAAATAATTTCAGTCAAAACACTTCATTCACCTTTAAATAGTCTAATGATAGAGAAAAACAAAATAAAAACTATGGCAACGATGTAGACGTAATAAAACTTAATATTCAACTCAATGTCTAAACAATAAACTACTTTTAGTCATTGATTTTGTAAGAAGGTTATTAATACTACTTGAATTAGTCCGTCAGTCAACAACAACATAGAACTTTGTACGTACGTGCATCAGTTTGAGTTGACATAACACATTAGCACAGAAATGCAATTGTCAATTCAAATGCCATAGTAGTAGAGGCAGTAGAAGTATGGACAGTAATTGGAAAGATTAGGGTTCGAAGATACTATTCAAGAAGTAGAATCTAGTGACCAATGTCGTCATATTTGTTTAATCCTTAAAATTAGTAAATCATGGCAATTATGGTACTTATGGAGTAATCTAGGCTTTGATACAACAGGTGTAAAGAATCAAATACAGTACACACAGAGTTTGAATCAACTTACTGAGGTTATATTAAATCATCTATCATTCCATAAAACTAATTAAAACATAGAAATAATAATCATAAGCCCAAATGGGCAACTTATCAATCACTAATACGTTGGTAGATTAATCCATAAAGCATTTTATATGATGATGAGGTTTAAGCTATACGTCTTAATAACTCATATAACCTCATTGAGTAAACATCACTATTCATCAACACGATATAATGGTGAATAAAAGAATAAAATAGAATACTGGAACTCTACACAGTTACATTAAATCAAAATCAGTACTTCAAATGAGTAGAAAAGAAAAACAACGCGGGATTCCAAATATCAGAAAAACAATTAATCGATAGAAAGTATGCGGAATACGCATAATCATATTATGAAAATTGGAAAATAAATGACTGCCAGAAACGACTCTGCATATATATATATATATATATATATATATATATATATATATATATATTACGGGATTGTGAAGATTGTTAAGTTACACATTGGAAATCATGAATCGATCAATGTTAGACCATCATTGGAAACCTGGAAGCACTGGATGGACGTTTCGTCCTGCTATATGACTCATCAGTGGCAGTTCGTATCCACGACTCCTGCACCCCACAGGATTCGAACCTAGGACCTTTGGTCCCATATCAGGACGAAAAGGCCGTCCAGTGCTTACAGGTTTCTAATGGTAGTTTAACATTGATCGATTCATGGTTTCAAATATATATATATATATATATATATATATATATATATATATATATTTACAAATGAAAAAGCACCTACCCAGAAAATTCAATAATCAATCGTTTAATTAAAGATTCTTCCTCATCAGGAATTTTTTTATTATGAATGAAAAAATGTTTATTCATAAATATGTTCGGAAGATTATTATTATTTATAGATGATGATTGTTGAATAGATTCTTCATCTTCATCAATAATAACGGATGGCCGATGACGATTGGAATTCATCACTCTGAAGGAAGTAAAAATATTAAAAATATGATAAGAAAGAAAGGGATCATCGTTGTTGTTTGAGTATTTAAAAAAAACACACAAAAGATATTTACTAATAGGAAATCAGTTGTATACTCATGCTCAAAGAAAAACCGTAAAATAACTAAAAGGTGACAGTAAATTCATTCAGTGAAAATGTAATATAATTTGATATCATCAACCAGTCTAAGTTAAACAACTAGTGAAGTCCTGGAGGCAATGATTATTTATTTCTTCCTAACATAGAACTCCTCGAGTATATCCAAAATTGCATTGAAGGGACCGAGGACATGATTGTTTTTTTTGCTAACAAATACTAAAGATCTAGACCATTGAACAGGGGATCCAAAGGTGTGCAGGTACAACATCGATCAACTCAAAATAACGCACGATCATTTCTCTTTAACTTTGTTTGATAACTTACTCACACTCGACACCGTTGAACTTCACTGATCATGACTTCCTATTAGAAATTCAGAGATTTCTTCTACAAGCAAGACACCAGCGAGCACGTTGTAATTATCAGCATCAGATTGGAGAGATTCGTGATCCTAACAGTACTCAATCATATTCAAAACTTCCATATTGTATATATTTTTCAGGAACTGTCAGTATAAATTAAATGATTTATAATGGTGTGACACCGATTAACAACAGTGATCAGTCACGTTTTGAAATACACAAAGAACATGGTTTCATAAATGTCAGCACATTTAGTAGGGAAGTGAAAGTAGTAAAAAGCCAGAAAATCGACAGAAATTCTTAATGATTGTGTATATTTCCACAAAATAAAAGCTAATTGACTATCACTTCATATCAAGAGAATTAGGATATAATTGTTTGAAACCTTAGCACCAAAATAATTCAATTTTATATTTGTGTCATGTACGATAACTTGTGAAGCACAAATTATGTGTATAATGTTTCATCAAATCATGTTTACTGGATATTCGATCTTTGAATATTCAATAGCATGTTAGAACCACATCAGATTATTTAGTTTGCTATAGCCAGACGGATAATACCGATAGTACATTTAATCGAAAATGTATAACCTAAAGATAAGTGGATAAGCACATGAAACTAGGATCGGTTGTTTCTGAGTAACATACACAAAATTTCCTAACGTAAACTGAAACGCTAATGATGTAAATCGGGAGGTTTATTGTGAATACAATATTCACTTGTGCTTGAAAAGTTAAACAAATACATAAATATATAGTTTGAAAAACAATTTTCTTATTACAAACTTATATCAGTTGGAGAATTATTTTGAAAAATGATAGACTGTTTTGCTTAGTTTCAGCTTGACTTTCTTTGATATAGGAAATAGACTGTCTAATTATTCTCTGGTTGGTGTTTAAAAGTCCCATAGTTTATTACATCAGTACACAATATAAACTCTTCAACATCATGTAGCTTTTATTCGTGTGTGTGCTTGACTGTGTCCAAGAGAAATCGATTAAATGTACGATCAAAAAAAGCAGATCTATTCAAAACACAAATACACGAACGAAGAAAATTCTTTTGAATAACTTTTTATTTAGTTCCATAGTCAAGCTAATAATCTTTTTAAAAAAGGTGAACTGATTTATTGCTAAATGCATAGCTAACAATTATTATTCTTCAATTAGAGTTACGGAGATTAGTGTTTTTTGCACATTGAAATCATCAAACAATTACTAGTGACTAGCTTCGTGAGGAAATTCTTGGAGTTATAGTGAGAAGACGTGACCCGCGGAGTTATACTCTGTCGGGTGTAGGCAGTAATTACCAAAGACTAATGGGTGAGGTCGCGCAAAATCTGTAGATTGATCAGGGTTAGACATTAACACCGTTGGATGCCAGTTCAGTGGTCCGGAGGTTAGGCGTTCGCGAGCAAGACCGAAGGTCCTGAGAGGTGCAGGAGTCGGGGATGTGCACTGCTGATGAGCCCCATACCGGGACGGTGGTCTAACAATGATTGATTGAGGATTTCACTGTGCAATTATTAATCTATGTGAACTTTGAGATTGTTCATAAAACCAAATAAAAACTGTTTATGTCCAAATAATCAACATAAAAATGTTAGCTTGAATATCGTTTGTACATCAAAATGAATGTGTAAGAAAAATAATCAAAATATATATGAACAGAGGATGAGAGAGAGCGAGAGAAAGTGATTACAAATCAAAATAAAGGTTTGTTCAAGGATTACGTAATATATATATTAAATTATGAAAGGAATAGAGGAGAGGTGGAGGGTTAGGTGTTAAATAATGTGATGCGGATTAATTTAGTTGGATATATATTTATCTAAATGCTGATTAATAATCATCAGTACATAATAAGTATGTGAACATATCGGGTGTTACAGTATTGCAAATACTAATACTAATACTAATACTAATAATAATAATAATAATAATAATAATAATAATAATAATGTATACGTTGAAAAATATCTTATAATGAAAATGTTTAGTAAAAGAATATAACCTAAACACAAAGCACAGTTATGAATCGTGTTTTGATACGGAGCAATGATAGAATATAGTTTTGACTATAGATTTGTTCAAAACATTCTAGTTAATAAAATAAACAATCATTACTGTAATAATTTTACTGTATACAGTAAAATAATATCAGTCAGTCAGTTAATTACAATGTAGAACTTCGTACGTACGTACGTCAGTTCAAGTTGCCATACCGCATCAGCACAGAGATGCAACTGTCTGTAACAATCCCATAGTGGTAGAGATAGTAGAAGAATTAGCGGTAAAGAAGAATAGTAAGGATCAAGGTTATTATTCAAGAATTATAGTTCAGCAAGGTAAATTTAGAAAGAGAAATATAGAGATGATGAGCAATTCTGAAGGTCCGAATTTGAGAGAACACAAAGAGTAGATGCACCTGCGCCATCGCAAACGATTTCGAGCCATGTCATTCAGGGTCTCTATCCATCGTTTATTATCACCTCGTGGACACCTACCGATATGACTCAGTCCACTTGTCAGTGACTTTATGGATTTTTGCCATGTTTTGGTTTAGCCGCACTTGGCTTTCGTCCAAGCTATTCCTACATCGCAAAACATCGATCGTCGAGGCAGTTGGTGGTCGGGCATTGGTTACACAAGTCCCAACCACCTCAACTGATGAAGTTTCACTAATTCATCTACTGATTTGCTATCCCTACCTAGTATACGTTTCCTAACGATAGCATTGCTTACTCGGTTGTCCCACGATAATTAAGCAATGCTTTGGAGGCACCTATGATCGAAAACCAGTAACCTACGAATATATTCTACTCTTACTGGCCATGTTTCACAGCCATAAAGTAGGACGGAGCGAACTGCTACGTAGTACGCTTGTCCTTAAGTCAGCAAACAGATATCTCGCCTATGTCATAAGTGACGCAAGTTGGCAAAAACCAGTCGAATCTTCTGTATCCGTGCTGAGATTTCGTCAGTCACCAGGCCATCAACACTGATGAGACTCTCCAGATAAGTGAAGCGGTCAACACGCTCGACTACTTCACTCCCTATCATTAGTTCAGGTACCGATACAAGCCAATCCTGAAGCAACATTTTGCATTTCGGTGGGGGGGGGGGGAAACCACATCCCGAACATGTTTGCATTGTTGCTTAGGGTAGTCAGAAGACTGAATTTCGACAGCGTATTCACTAAGTAGAACTATGTCATCGTATAATAATGTATGTATAATAATATGATAATATTCGTAATACTATGTGTATTATAGATTGAGTCAAAGGAAAAAACAACCTTGAATTTCACACATTACACTAATATCTTCCTTCAGTTCGTTCGAGAAAAGTGAACTCTGGAAATTTAAATCACTGGTGTGAAGGTGAACAGAGATCACTTTGAAGCTTGAAGCTTTTGTATTTGTCTCCGGTTAGTTGAAAAAATTGTTCAGTGTTTCTCGGTTTTATTTTATTGCCTAAACCAAAGTCAACCTGTGATATGAAACTATAATGTATAGTTTTTTCGAGTCATTTTATAGAACAAAGGCAGAATCGTACAAACAAACTGGTAGAAAGATACATATACACAAACATATAAAAAACAAGACTTTGAACATATGGAATATAATGTCGAGTGTTTGAAATTACTTTTGAATTGGTCACATTTCACTCATTTTAATTATCTTGGCAATATTACCGTTTAAACAAAAAAAACTAAGGATGAGAGTAGGATAGAAATGAAATGTAATTGATGTTTTCGTAGAAATCAGTCAGTCAGTGATAACGTAGAACTTGGTACGTTGTGTATTAGCAATTAAATTTAAACAAATTATAGAAAGAGAATATTTATCAATTATATAGAGTAGTTTAAGAAAAAAATAATTGAAAACTAAACAACTCACTGATCAGTTTGTTTGAAAACTTTATTCATGACTTTTTTCTATTATATTTAACTAAGTTAAATATAGTAAGAAAGTGAGAGTTTCCTTTAGGAAACTCAATTAAGTGATAACTGAATGCAAACAAATGATGACTAATTTTGTAACAGCTGGGAGCAGGAATTTATGAATTTTAACTACTGATCAGTAGTCAATTCAAATTGGAAAGACACTTAAATTTTAGAACAACACTAGTGTTGTATTCGATTAGATCGTCATCAGGCTTTACTCCCCAATATACATGAATATTTCATATGAACATGTTAAACCAATCAAGGCAATTTGAGTCAATAATCACAATGAAATGAAATATAGATTACGTCACTACACACATCATAGATGGAAAAGTACAAGTTGATGGTAAGTAGGAAGACAGGTGAGTACTGATATCACGCAAAATCCCTAGATCAATCAGAGTTAGACATTAACACTGTTGGATGCCAGCCCAGTGGTCCGATGGTTAGGCGTTCGTGCACAAGACCGAAGGTCCTGGGTTCGAATCCTACAAGGTGCAGGAGTCGTGGATGCGCACTGCTTATGAGTTCCATACCAGGATGAAACGGTCGTCCAGCGCTTCTTCCAGGTTTCTAATGATGGTCTAACACAATGAGTGATGGCCAATAAAAATTAGGAAAAATTAGAATAACATATATAAGCGAACAATATTGTTGTTTTCGGTTAGATCGTCGTCAGGCTTTATTCTAATATACATGAATATTTATACGAACATGTTAAACCAATCAAGGCAATTTGAGTCAATAATCACAATGAAATGAAATATAGATTACGTCACTACACACATCATAGATGGAAAAGTACAAGTTGATAGTAGTAAGAAAAAAATATAAAATACGATAATAAAAGTTTTATCAATAGTAGGTCAAACATAGATAAATATAGACTTAAAATAATCATTAACATTTTGGAGAATTGATTCTTGAAAGTTTAAATTCATATTTCTCAACAGATTGGGTTAATGATCACGTAGATGGTAATTTGTTAATTTCTTGTCAAAAGTAAATTGAAAGAGATTTTTTTTTACAAATTCATATAAAAAGAGCAGTCTTATAATTAGCAAACTCTACTGTTAGATATTTAATGGCAAGTATTAGTTTACTTGAACTAGAGTTTGCTCAGATGAAAATTTACAGTTTGTGTAGCATTGTGTGTGTGTGTGTGTAATAATAGGTGGCCTTTTCAAATTAGTTGTAACGACAAGATTTATTCAAATGCAAAGTTTCTTGAAAATTTATCCAAGTTACAAATTAGTGTGCTGTTGTGAAGAACAAATACTCTATGTATAGAGGTATGAGGAAACATATGATACTGAATCGGATAATTGATACAAGACTCATATTAATTAATGAATATCATGGAAGCCTAATAGTAAATAATGACAATTGCTCTAGTATAATCAGAGTTTTAAAGTTTTATTGTTATTTAAAAACCATACAAATAAATGCAAAGTTAAATGATTTCCAAACCACATGAACATACTCTACCGTAAATACATTGATTTGAAGATAGAATAACCGATCAATTAATTACATAAACGTGTACAGCTCTTGTTTTCAATAAAATCTTCAATTTGTAGTGTGGGAGTAGGTTAAAAGAAAGATAGGGGCGGTCAAACTAAAACATGGCACAAAGCCATAAATGGACTGAGTCATGTTGGTTGAGGTCCGCGAGACGAAAATCACCAATCGTTAGAAACCTTGGACGACATGTCTCAAAATCGTTTGCAATAGCGCAAGTGCATCCATTCGTTGAGCTCTCTCAAATTGTAACCTTCTGAATTCCTCATCACCTCCATCTTCCTTTTTCTAAGGTCATCTCACTGAATTATACTTCTCGAACCATATCTTCAAACCTTAATCTTCTCCACTACCGCTAGTACTTCGACTATTTCTACCACTATGGGATTTAAACTGACAGTTGCGTCTCTGGGCTGATGCGGTATGGCTATGGAAACCTGAACATGTGTACTCCTGTACGAAGTTCTACGTTGAAACTGACTGACTGATTGACTGATAATCTTCAATTTAACTTATTCTAAATACCAGATATTATATTCTAATATTATAATACAATTCACTTAACCTTAACGTTACACTTCGATCTTATCTTCAAATTATTTCAAAAGTGGATACAGAACAGAACACAAACAACTTTAGATGCAGTAAGGACGTGAATGTTTCTTCGTGGAGTAAATAAAATTTTAAAAAAATTGTTATTTAATATGAAATCATTTTTCCCATATAAAAAATAAGTAGACGAAAGATCAACAAACCTTTGAATTTCATCATCTGTATCTTCATCTTCTGGATTGTTAACAATCGCTGAAAATAATAATAGTTATTATGATTAGGATTATTATTCTGAACAACAGTAGTTGCTGTGAATGTATATGAGAACAAATGTTTTCGATAAACATAACTTAACAAACAAAAATTACCAGTTTATAAATGTTGTTTTAAGCCTCTTTTCAAGTTCAAGTTAAATTCAATACCCATTTGGTTGCAAAAATAGAATGAATTTCGAACTTCATGCACTTGAGTACTATGCCATCACTCATCCACTTCTCCAGTTATATAATACAACGTAGAACTTGAAGCGAATGCATATGAATTCAAGTTGCTATATTGATTATCAACACAGTGATACACAATTTAACAGGATGAAAATCAAAACAATTGGAATAATGAAGGTAACGAGGAAAAAGACGAATGAAACCAAAGGAGAAACAAAAACAATGCATGATTGAATATTGAAGCTCAATAGTTAAAGGGTAAGAAAAAAAAAGACTTCGTAACTGAATGATTAAAGGAGATGAAGATGAATAGGATCAATCAACCAATCAACAACAACGAAGAACTTCGTACGTAAGTACATCAGTTCAAGTTACCATACCACATTAGCACAGAGATGTGATTGGTACTTCAAATCAGAAATTTTAGGGTTCGAAGATATTATTCAAGAAGTAGAATCTAGTGAAATAAACTTAAGAGAGAAAGATAAAGGTGATGAGGAATTCAGAAGGTTACAATTTGAGAGAACACAAAGAATGAATGCACCTGCGCCATTGCAAACGATTTTGAGCCATGTCATTCACGGTCTCTAACCATCGTTAACTATCATTTCGTGGACCCCAACCAGGTAGTTGACACCTACCAGCATGGCTCAGTCCACTTGTCAGTGACTTCATGGATTTCTGCCGCCCCTACCTTTCTTCCACCCTACTCCTACACCATAGCTCGTCAAGGCAGTCGGGGGTCGGGCATACGCAACACAAGTCCCAACCACTTCAAATGATGAAGTTTCAACACTTCATCAATTGATTTGCCATCCCGAACTGGTACTCGTTTCCTAACAACAGCATTGCTTACTCGGTTGTCTTACCGGCCATGTTTCACAGCCATAAAGTAGGACGAAGCGAACTGTTGCGCAGTATCCTCGTCCTTCGGTTAGCAAACAGAAATCTCGCCTACGTCATAGATGACGCAACTTAGCAAAGGCCAATCGAGCCTTCTGTATCCGTGCTGAGATTCAGTCAGTCACCAGGCCATGAGCCATGATGAGACTCCCGAGAGATGAATAGGATAAGTATAGTACATTAAAGTGCTATAATTTGAAATATAATATTAACAGAATTGACAGATTATGCGATGACTAGGGAAAACAGAGAAATTTTTTTAACAAAAAAGCCAAACGCAAAAATCAGTTGAGTAAGAGCAAAACAGTAAATATTGACAATAACGATGATAAGTACAGTTCGGAAACCGGTTACAGATAGCAGAAAACAGGCCAATATATGGAACATGTGACAATCTAGATAAGATCACATTCAGTTGTCCATTTTCTGTATGCTAAAATTTCCATTCATATATCAAAGTAATCATTTATAAAATGTGAAATCGAACTGATAAACACTCATAGAGAAAGCAACTTAAGGTAGTATATCGTTATTTCCAGCTTTAAGGATGGGATGATTGCGGAAAAAATGTGCGACTTAGATACAGAATTCTTCTCAACATGTTTTTGGCGGCTAGCATTGGAATCCAAAACGCGTTGTTCTGTTTGATACTCGTCAATTGGATCTACCTGAATCCTAGAGTCAATGGAAAGATTCAAACAATCGATTCAAATAAATTGTTTGGTTATTATTTCGCTAGGAATGTTGTTGATAAACTTAAGTTTTAAGAACAGTGACTTCTTTGAAATGGTTCATAGCTTTAGCTTTCTATCATCAGATATCAATTCATATTATGTGAAAGATAATAGCTGGATTCTTTACTCAATTATATTCTTAACCAGACTGCTGTATCACTTCATTATATATCTAAACTGAACGTAATTGATGAATAAATACTGTTTTAAGGTATTCACATATGTAGAACAGAATGGTAGTACACTTGATATCAGTCCTATTAGAGAGCCAACTAGTTACATATATAACTGACAACCATTACCATTTCAGTTGATGTCACTAGCGGTCGCACCACGTATATAAACTGTTGAGAATTCAAAGCATCGAGACAATTGCTGTTTAGACAATGAAGTAGTTACGCAAAAGACATTTCTGAGACTTAGCTCCACAAATTCTCTTTAAAACTTATAAATCAAGTAGTTTACTAATTCTAGAGATAAAAAAATAATGCAACAGTAATTCACTTTACTGTATGAAATTTTGCATTGAACATATTTATACTACTATTATGGTATATTTTAGTAAATTAAATCTTTGTCGGTGATATCTAATAAGATATTGAAATTGGTATCGAGATAGTTTTTCGCATATGTAAAATCGTACGTGATACCAATTTTTCACAAGTTTGTTCTGATCAACATCTGTCTCTTTTTTTCACATTTTCATATAACAATGTAATATCTCTCATTTATTAAGTTGACAGACCGCCAAAAACTCAAAAACAAATAGTAGGATTACAGACGGCAGTTTCAAGTGAACTGATATTACTGCATAGAACAATGCTACGTGAAAAATTGACGAAGCAAAACGAAACATCATCTACTAGGGGGGAATATGACTGGTTGACTTACAGTGTGCTAACACACACAACAGATCACCGTACAATTGGAAGTGAAGAAAAATTCAGCAAAAAACGGATGTACTGCAGAAGACTCCGTAATAGTTATAGATCAAGTTGCGCAACAAACTTTCCGTTTAAAGCAAGAGGGGGGGATATCAATCAGTCAGTCAGTCAGATGCAATGTAGAACCTCGTACGTAAGTACATCAGTTCATGTTGCCATACCACATCAGGAGAGAAGTAATTGTCAATTCAAATCCAATAGTAGTAGAGGTAATAAGGGAATTAGAAGTAATCGGAGAGGTTAGGATTAGAAGATACTATTCAAGAAGTATGATTCAGTGAGAAAAGTTTAGAGAGTCGAAACTAGAGGTGTTGAAGAATCCAGAAGATTAGGATTTGAGAGAACACAAAGAATAAATGCACCGGCGCCATTGCAAACGATTTTGAACCATGTCATTCAAGGTCTCTAACCATCGATTATTATCATCTCGCGGACCCCAACCAGGTAGTCGACAATTACCGACATGGCTCAGTCCACTCGTCAATGACTTCATGGATTTCTGCCATGTTTTGGTTTGGCCGCCCCTCACTTTCTTCCAACCTATTCCTACACTACAAAAGAAACTTCGTCGAGGCAGTCGGTGGTTCGGCATACGCAACACATGTCCCAACCACCTCAACTGATGAAGTTTCACCACTTCATCTATTGATCTGCCATCCTTACCTAGTACTCGTTTCCTAACGACAGTATTGCTCACTCGGTTGTCCCACGGTATACGAGCAATGCTTCGAAGTCACCTATGATCGAAAACCAGTAACCTACGAATATCTTCTACTCTAACTGGTCATGTTTCGCAGCCATATAGGAGAACGGAGCGAACTGCTGCACAGTACACTCGCCCTTTGGTTAGAGAACGGATATCACGCCTACGCCATAAGTGACGCAGGTTGGCAAAAGCCAATCGAGCCTTCAGTATCCGAGCTGAGATTTCGTCAGTCACCAGGCCATCAGCACTGATCAGACTCCCCAGATAAGTGAAGTTATCAACACGCTCGACTACTTCACTCCATATCACTAGTTCAGGTGCCGATGCAACCCAGTCTTGAAGCAACATTTTGCATTTCGAGGGGGAAAAAACCGCATCCCGAACATGCTTGCATTGTTTCTCAGGGTAGTCAGAAGACTCTGCATTTTGTCAGCATCTTCACCAAGTAGGACAATGTCGTCGGCATATTCTAAGTCAATAAGCGAGCCACCTGGTAGAAGGTCTACTCCTGAAAATTCAGACGAGGATAATGTTAACTTTAGGAGCATGTCTATGATAAAATTAAACAAGAATGGAGAAAGTGGACATCCCTGACGGACACCACTTGAAGTGAAGAATTCAAATGACAGTTCGCCATAAGCTCTCACTCGACCAGTGGTGTTTGAGTAAAGAGCTTGTATAAGGTTAATGTACTTCTTTGGTACTCCTTTCAATGACAGACACTGCCACAGAACCTCACGATCCACTGAGTCGAATGCCTCCTTTAAGTCCAGGAAGACAACTATTGTAGGACACCTAAATGTGTGTCTGTGTTACAGGACCTGTTGTAGTGTGAAAATGTGGTCTATACAGCCACGTCCAGGTCGTAAATCAGCCTGATTTTTTGCTCTTCACGAGCTTTAGTCAGGCGTCTCAGTATAATGGAGGCTAACAATTTAGAAACTATTTTAGCTAGACTTATTCCCCTGTGATTGTCACAAGAGGACTTTTGTCCTTTCTTATACATTAGGACAATCAGGGATTGAGACCATTCGGATAGGATTACGTCCAGTTTTCAGATTGTACCTAAGATCTCAGTCAATCAAGCTGCTAAAACTGGGCCACCATCCTTAAATATCTCAGGTGTCAGTCTATCAGGACCTGCAGCTCGTCCTCGTTTCAGAATTCCTAACGCTTTTTCAACGTCATTAAGACTAGGGGGACTTAGGTCGATTTGCCATTCAGGATGAATGGAGATCGTGGGTAACCGAAGAGTGGCTCGGGGGGGGATATAATTAAGTTAATCAAATAAAAACAAAGAAATGGAACAGAAACGTGATTTTCAAGAAAACCGTATACATGAAAGAAGTCAAAGAAATCGCCACATTATAAATGTTGTCACGGAAAGAATCTTGTATCATTTCATGGGGAAATGTGATACGATACCACAAAAATTAGGATTTAATTAGTTAAGGAATCAGGGACTTGGAAAATAATTAACTCCGATTGATTTACTCGGTCTATAAACATGTCACTTTATTACGAAAAAAATTTTATTTTTCAGACTAGTAGTATTGTCTTTGATTTAAAATCAATCGGCAGCTTGGATCGATAATTCGGTCTTGTGAGTAACCCATCAATCGACCATTTCTTGTTATTACATACAGATCATCAATGGAACAGTAGTCTTTCATAATTGAAAACTCGTTTATCAACTCATTAAATTATAAACACTTTCCTCTATAAGAGTGACAACAAGGATAAAAATTGATGATCAAAATGTTAATTACCGTAGATCAGAGAATATCAATAGGTAATAAATTAGTGCTATTACTGAGAGATGAGACCAAATCTGAATATCACTCACAAATAATTAGTGGAAAAATTAAATGCAGTGCAGAAAAAATGCATTGTAGATGAACACCTTGAATCACACAACAATTAGAGTGGTTTGCAAGAAATGATACAACGAAGTTAATGAATAGTCATGAAGTTATTGTCAATTCAAATTTAGGCTCAGCAATCGAGCCAGAGTTTACTGAGAACAATTCGACTTCAAATTTAGGGCTATCAATTACGGTTCAACAATATCTGACTGTCTATGACACACACATCATAAGCCCTGCATTCAATGTTTCACTTTAGAAGCTTTTATTGTTACGGACTGAATAGTGTGACAAGTGCTGATTTTAAATAAAAGCAGATGAAAAGGAGCGTCGTACACACTGGATGTCATAAAACAATGGAGGAAATCAATTTGCAGGTCATCCACTCTTTCTAATCACTTACGACTTAATTGTTTAGCCGAATTGTTGGTCAACGTTTCAGTTAATAAATATATCAGAACAAGCAGAGATATGACTAGTAATCACACTAAGAATTTAGAGTAAGATTATGGGGTATCAAAGCTTACTGTTTTTTGAAATTTTAATCATACATCTAAACAAAACTTGACAGTAAGCTGAATTCTGAAAGTTACGTCTAATGAATATGAGATTTGTCTAGATTTGCTGGATGAAAAAATTAATTCATGCACTTTTGGAATAATTATGTGTTGCTTTAATGCATAAACAATACATGTAATGGTTTATTCAATTATATTCTTGCGAAATATACTTGGTGTTTGCATTGTCAACATCGATACCGTAATCAAAAGAAAGACATAACAGAATATATGTGTATAGTTATTAGATTTGATAGAATTTAAGACAGAGGGTTTGATGATGATATATAATGTACATGTTGAAAATTCATTATCTTGTAATAATCAATATAGTAGTAGTATTATTCAAACGAAATAATGATAAATAGTTTGTTTTTTTTTTACAAAATAGTAAAAATCTTTACGGTTTAATTACCGGTTTTTTTGACATTAGAACTATCGTCAACAGTGGAACGTGGTCGTTTTCGACTGTTCTTTCTACTGGTTTTTATCTTACGCTTTCCTCTCCTATTCGATTCACCAGGTAAATTTTCGTCACTTTCTTCTTCCTCCTCTTCTTCTCCAATATCTTCTTCTTCTTCTTCGTCTGTCTCCTGGTATTCTTCGTCATCATCATCGGCTTCATCAGAAGAAACTGGTTGCCAATCGCTATCATCTGATTTTTTCTTGCCTCCTAAAAACAGAAATATTTAAAGTACAGGTGGTAATGGAATACACTATAACAATTCACATTTTCTGAAAACTTTTACCACTGAATATTGTGTATTAAATTACAATTATATTTGAGGTTTATTTACGAAAATGCTTAAACAGGTCTGTCAGGTATCAAAAACTACAAGTGTCAAAGTGAAACACTATCCTAATTTGAGAATATAGACTTGATAAAGTATTTAATTGAATATCAGATTGTCTACAAATCAAAATTCATAGATTCAGGGGGGGGGGATTGATTTTGCAGGAAAGATGAAAGATGCTTATTCTAAGCGGACTAATCCAAGCTGGATGCATAGTGGCTATTATTCACGTTACAGTTGTGATGAATTGAGAAGTGCTTCGATTAACACTAATACAGTGAAACTAAGTTGTTAGGCTTGATTTACAAAATGTTCTAACATTAGCGAAAATATAACTAAATTAAATAACTCAGAACATGAATTGGAACATGCTTGGAATTCGGATGAGGAATTAGATTATTCATATCTGGTTGAAACCAGTAGCAGTATGATAAACAGGCAGTAGGAAAATTTAGGCGAAACAAGAGTGTCTACTTACAAACGCTGAGAGTAGTTATTGTTTTTAGATATCATTAAAATTTAAAATAAATGTTACCTTTCAATGGTATATAGTTCGGTTAATCAACTAACAACCATTAATTTACGCTACATAAATTATTCGTCATAAGATGTAAATGTGACATCACCATGATTCATAATTTACTAAGTATAGCTTAGTGAGTTACAAGTTAGAAAGACATTCATTCATTTATGATTTCCTTATTTTAGAGAAAAATAAATGTTAAAGTATATATAAAAATCGACTATAGGTTGACAAATAATGAGTATGAGCATCGACAAATCTAGCAGGAAAATTGTTATTAGCGTCTAGCAAGTAAGTATGGCTAATAGCAAATATTTCCTAATAAAATTTTCTGAAAATCTTAAGCAGTATAAGACAAAATAATAATAATAACTTACTCAGTCTAAGATTAGTTTTATGACCTGATGATCTGTAACAAAAAAAACATGAAATACGTAGAAAAGAAAGTACGAATTAAATACATGTGTACAGAACATGATTTCAATGAAACTCAACACAATCTCTAGAACCACATACTAACAAAACATGATAAGTTTTAAAACAACATCAAGAGAGAATGCCATTTGATGACCATCAGAAAATGTCCTAAAGGACGAATACATATCAGTGGTTAAGAAATGGATACATTTCCTGAGGTAGAATATATTTGAGTATTTGTACATATTATTTGGTAGCCAAAAAGAATTTCTTTTCTGCCAGCTTGAGGATTGGGTTAATGAGTTTCACCCCATTTTACGGGGATGTGAAACATGGACACTGAGAATAGAGGATGTCAGTAGATTACTAGTATACGACCATAAGTGTTTTCAAATCATTGCTCGTATATCCTGGGACAATCGAGTAAGCAAAGCTGGGGTTAAGAAAAGATACTAGGTAAGGATGACAAGTCAATCGATGAAGGGGTAAATGTTCATCAATTGAGGTGGTTGTGACATGTGTTACGTATACTGCCTCGACGAGCGATGTTTTGTGATGTAGGTGTAGGTTGAGAGAAAGCTAGGGGCGGCCAAACCAAAACATGGCATAAATCCAAGAAGTCACTGACAACTGGACTGAGCTATGTTAGCAGGTGTAGACTAGCGGGTTGAGGCCCACGAGACAATAGTTACCGATGATTAAGGACTTTGAATGACATGGCTCAAAACGGTTTGCAGTGGCATAGATGCATCCATTCTTTGTCTTCTCTTGAATTCGAATCTTTTGAATCCTTCCTTTTTTTAAATTTATTTAAGTGGATTATGCTTCCCGAGTCATGTCTTCAAACCCTAATCTTTTTCATCACTGCTAATACTTTTACTACCTTTGCTACTATGGGATTTGGATTGATAACTCTATCTCTGTGTGCTGAATCGATATGGCAACCAGAAATGGTGTATGTACGTACGTATGAAGTTCTACGATTTAGCTGACTGACTGATACGACGATCCAATATTGTTGTTTCGTGGAGGGCATGAATAAGAAATCAAATAGGAATAACCCTAGACTCGGTTCCAGCCGGTGGTGTCTTCCTAGTTGAAGAGGTGTTTGGACTGAAGTTTCGGCCTTTGTTTAAAGCGATGTATCTACATAGTTGAAAGGAGGCTTACAAACCAAAGCCAATTAATTTTTCACGAGAGATGACCGGCAGAAAATCTTTTGAAGGATGAATACATATCATTAGTTAGGAAATTGCCTCATTTACTAAGGAAGTGGAATATACATTATTCAATAGCCAGACTCTCTTCTCTTATCTTCTCGCTTAAGCATCCAGCTTCACGATTTAGCACACATTGCAATCGGATTTCAGAATCCACACATCATAACAATAACACAGTCCATTTGTTAATGATTAGAGAAAACAGTATGATCAAGTTAAGGAACTGCTGAAAAAGAGGAGAGATATGAAGTGGTTGGCAGTAATCGAGATAAAAGGTTTTAATTTAGATCTTATATTAGTTTTTATTTCCTAAGTGTCTTGAGGGGACTAATGATAAGCGAATGAAACATTTCTATTCATTCACTTCGGTAGGTTTTCGTTACTCATATTTGCGATAACTGGAAATAACTGATAAACTATATCGTACTTCAACTTGCAGATAATAGCACGCACTTCCTAAGGTACTGGAAAACCTACTTCAGTGAAAAGTATCACACGGTATTTCACTTCTAAAAAACTGATCACTGAGAAATAGAGTGGATGAATAGAGAGAGAGAAAACTAATGCAGGTAAAATCTTACAACTTTATGTACTGGGATACGATAGTCAATAGTAATAATCAGGAGTGATATTGAAAATATCTTATCTGGATCATATCTTTAATGACAATCATTTGATTCACTAAGTGCAGGCCTGAGTACTCGATTGAAACACGCTCTTTGTGTTCGGGCTATTTATACTATCCAGCTGCTCAAACCTAATTAGGCGAAGCGGGACTTGAACCTACAGCCTAGTGGCTGGAATCGGACACTAAGCCATCACTCCACTTCAATTATGGGAACATAATGAGTGATAATCAATACAAACTATTATATTTAAAAACAAAATATTGAATCGCATACACATAAACTTACTTAGATTCTGGAGATTGACTGTCATCATCATCAGCATCATTTAAAGTCTGATTGGATGTAGATGACAGAGTAGTAGTAGTAGCAGTAGTAGTATTTGGCGGACTAGGTGCACGTCCAACTCGATAACTACGCCAAGGTACATTACTTTTGGTCACATAACATTGTGTAATCCATTTATCAGAAACAATTATACCTTTTCCTTTGACTAAATTGAATTTAGGAGTGTTTGGGAACGCACAACTATATGGATATGAAGTAAGGTTAAGAAACGAGACAGATAAACGATGTCACCAATAGAAATCGTTCAACTCTATCATAATACAAATAAACAAAATCAAGTAAATTATCATAATAATAATAAGATTTTAAATATAGTGTTAGTTTCTTTGAACTGGATAATTTAAGCAATAGTAATAGTGACTATTTCAAGTAGTTGTGACTTGTCTAATCTATCTACCAGTACTAAATCAAACTATTCTAATGATCTTGTCTCTGTAAGTTTTATGTTCACACATATATCTTTGAATTTCTGATTATTGTTTTGTTCAGTTGATGATCTATGATCATACAGTCGATTGGTCTTATTCGAATGGGTTAGTAAATTAAACCATTAACCATGTGATCTTTTGACTGAGGATTGATCGAAATGATGTACTTCAATAAATTTTTTGGCATTATTAAAATTTCCCCCACCCCTCCATCAAAAACTTTGATATTTCCCTAGTCAAATTTGTATGCATGGATTTCCACATACAATGATATAGGGGACAGCATATCGTATCGTTTTGCTACTAATCAGTGTTCATATACACATAATGTAGTGTTCGGTAACATCTATTTTATAAATGATATCGTATTTAACTTCCATTAGCGTTGTGTTTTCTGAACTGCATAAGACAGAACTAAGTGGTTATGTACGCTTGTGAGTTAAAATTTGTATGGGTGAAACTCTGGATAAGGGAAGTTACAAAAATGTCATAGAATTTCTAGGAGCATGGACCTTCAGACTAATCTGTAGTCAAAAACACATGAATATAAATCTAATTTACCAATTCGCTACTCTATATGAGCAAGATGTTCCTACACAACATCATATTCGTAATCATTCCAAGTAGATTAATTCACACACTAAAAAATTCATATCTACAGGGAAGTACAAATCACTTGAATTTGTTAAAGTTAGTAAATTTCATGAAAAAAATAAGTAACAATTATCTTTTCACATTAAAATGATAAATTATTCTTAGTTAACGAATTTTTCGACTAAATAACTCAGTCAAAAGTTCGAACAATATATATAATATAAATAACTGACCATCGAAAATGAAGTGAATTTAAAATCGACTATAAGTCAAAAAACAATACAGAAAACTTTTGTATACTATAGAAGGTAGGAGAGGATTGGTGAAATTACATCCAAGTATTACCATTCTTATACTCTGATGATTGATAAATGTGAAATATCTTTTCTCAGATTAGTAATTAAAATATGTTTAAACACCCCATGACTATCATTATTTTAGTAAGCATTCTCAATCTCTTAAAGCTTTTATTCAAAATCAATTCATATGGTCTTAAGACAGACTAGTGGTAATTTCATGTTGTAATCGGTTACTTTTATGAAGTGAGTGGTTAAACATCTGCATAGATTTATTAAACTACAAGCATATGAAAGATGGAGGACTTGAAATGTCTAACTTACATCAAATGCGTACAATCTGGACCCCAATCTTGTCTGTACTTGGCACCAAGTTCCAAAGCTTTGTCTCTTATTTGACTTCTCAATGGATTTTGATATCCACTTAGAGTAAAAATAACATTTGATAAAGGTTTTTGAGATGATGATGATGATGAAAAAGAAGATGAAGAGGTTTTTGATTGCTTGTATGTCTCTTTGTTCTTCAATACACTAGAAGACTGTGGAGAACGTGCTACTTCTGTATTAGTAGTAGAGGAAGGTTTTTGATTAGACTGATGAGAACTGCTACTAGCTTTAATGGATTTATGATGATCAATTGGTTGATTGACGAGTAATGCACTCGATGTATTAGCTAGAGAGAATTAAAAAGAAACAGTGATCATAGTTATGCCAAGAATATAATTCAGTGTGACAAATTGTTGACCAATGGAATAAGCATGACTGATACGATTAAAATTCGAAGAGAATTAGTGAAGCTAATGGAGTAGAGAAATTGATGGTTGTTAACTATTAATAGACGAATCACCAGTCAGACAAGCAAAAACAACGTAGAAGCAAACATGTCCATAGGTTTAAGTTGTCATACACCATTAACTCAGAGAGATGAAATTATCCAGCCGAATTTCATAGTAGGATTAGCAACAAGTATCAGTAGTACTAGAAAAGGTAAGGCATCGAAGATTCAATTCGAAATAAAAATGTAAATTAGCGCGATGGAAAAAATTATAAAGAAGTTAGAAGCTCAAAATTTGACAGAATACAAGGAATGGATGCACCTGAGCCACTTAAAACGATTTTCAGCAATATATATCATTCAAAGCATCTAACCACGGGTTGTGATAATTACGCGAACCCCGACTAGGCAGTTAACACCTATGTACAGATAAAATCATACCATCAATGTCTACTACACTGACTTACTATCCTTAAAAAAAGGTGTAAGTACGGAGCTGCTGCTAAAAATTTGGTATCTGAAATATATCATCGTAAACATCTAAACTCCGAATATCGACCCATTGTCCAAAAAGAAACCAAGAATATTTTTTCAAATGAGTGTGGATGTTTACTGATTATGATAATCTTCCTACTTTTTCGGTTACCCATGTGTTATCGACAAGCATGGTAGACTGTTACTGAATTACGTTCGGTGAGCAGTTTAGACTCTATTTCTATCATAAGCTAAAGTAGGAATAGAGATTTAATATAAGTTGAATTATAAGGTATATCTAAAAGCTTAGAATGTATAAAACATACTCATGGAAATATAAAAACTTACCATTTGAAATTAAATTCGTTGAATGCTTTAAAGCATTTAATTTATCTGAAACTACAGACATATTTGTTATATGTATCCTTACTTGAAGATTTGGGCTGTGCATTATCTTGGTCGCAGAATGTCTGGCGTGAAGCTTGGAAGAGTGAACCTGGTTTGAATTGAGGTGAGTCTGATTCTTCATCATTCAGTAAGCTGATAACTTTGATGTTTTTTTCCTATGATATGTTAGTATAGAAATGACGTTTACCTCAGTTATTGCATTGGCGTTAGCTGGGGTGTGAAAAAAAACGAAGGAAATACCGTACTGTAAAGTTTTGCTAAACGGCTGAGAGCAAACAAATTTGACTAGATCCCATTTCTGACAGGCTGTGGATTTTATAAACTGATCGCCGCTAAATACGCGAACACGATTAAGGTTCGTTTCGTTTTTTGCATCTACTGGAGACATAAAAGAAGAGGATGGGAGGAGTACCTAGTAGTCTGAACAAAAAATTAAGATGTTACCGATGGGTCATCCGATGAAGCAGATCTACGCACGAGTACTTCGATAAAGGCTGAACCATTATTACCAATATCCAGACGTGAAATTTCAACAGGTTCCGAAAACTATGAAGCTTTAAGATGACATGAAGAAACGACAGATTACACTCAATTCAACTGCTTCTTGTTTGCTTCCACCACTTATGCAACACCATTTTGAGAATGATGAGCCTTTAAGAAGGTTGGATGCAGGAAAAGCCTGAAAGAAAAAAATATGAATACTACCTGTTTCACTTTTTAAGAAGTCACATTAATTTTAGGAAAATCGTGAATGTCATGACTTCAGCTTAGATAGGGTTGTAAGAGGCTTTTAAAAAATTCATGATAAGATGGCGATAGACTTTTTTTTATTCAAACGCAATTATTGGTACAAAGGGGCGCCTACATATTTATGTACCACACAAATCATCGAAAATGAGTGGACTGAACTACTATCTAGGTACCTAAGCAGAAGCAGGTGGTTTCGCTAGGAGGCCACTCCAAATAGGGCAACAAGCTTCATTAGCTAGAACTCTGGAGTCCCGTGCGATCGGTTTATGTTGCGTCGCCGAAACGCGCATACAAGATCCGAATAAAATCATCAATTTGATTTCACCTAAAGCAGATAGAGACACAACACGGTTTACGCTTCGTATTTTAGGTAGCCCTGATGCTGCTTCCTGTGGCCTCGCCGGCGTAGGTATAGTATTAAATCCTAGGGCAGAACTAGCTTTCTTAGGCTGGATCCTATTAGACAGTCGCTTGTGCGACTGTCCAACTAAACCGGACGGTACGAACTCATAAACATAGGGACACTCGCCGTTGTATCGTCGTATCCGCCGACTCTCCCACTGACTGCAGTTCGGACGAGATGAAAAGTTTTGTAGAAACCTCTCTAAACTTCAGAAAGTTAAGCGCTCCGATATAGTAATAATGGCTGGTGACTTCAGTGCTCAAGTCGGTAGACTAGGTGAAAAGGCAACAGTAGGCAACTATTCAGACTCATCAAGGAAACCGGTATTAGGAACCCGAATGTGAGTGAGACTATTTTGGAAAGTGATGGACTTACTATTCATTCTCAATCCAGGAGATTAGATCGACGGGCAGAACACTTTAGGGATCAGTTTAATTGGCCCTCAGCCGCATTTTGGCTGCCCACGATCTCCAGTCAACTTGAATGGCAAATAGATGTAATTTGTCCAACTCTTTATGAAGTTGAGAAAGTGACAGGAAATCTGAACCAATGGAGAGCAGCGGGTCCTGAAAAATTGACCCATGAGATTTTTAAGGATGGTGGCCCAGTTTTAGCAGCTCGATTGACTGAGATCTTAGGTACAATCTGAGAATTGGACGTAATCTTATCCGACTGGTCTCAATCCCTGATTGTCTTAATGTATAAGAAAGGACAAAAGTCCTCTTGTGACAATCACAGAGGAATAAGTCTAGCTAAAATAGTTTCTAAATTGTTAGCCTCCATTATACTGAGACGCCTAACTAAAGCTCGTGAAGAGCAAAAAACCAGGCTGGTTTTCGACCTGGACGTGGCTGTATAGACCACATTTTCACACTACGACAGGTCCTGTAACACAGACACACATTTAGGTGTCCTACAATAGTTGTCTTCCTGGACCTAAAGGAGGCATTTGACTCTGTGGATCGTGAGGTTCTGTGGCAGTGTCTGTCATTGAAAGGTGTACCAAAGAAGTACATTAACCTTATACAAGCTCTCTACTCAAACACCACTGGTCGAGTGAGAGCTTATGGCGAACTGTCATTGGAATCCTTTACTTCAAGTGGTGTCCGTCAGAGCTGTCCACTTTCCCCATTTTTGTTTAACTTTGTCATAGACATCCTTTTAGAGTTAAAATTATCTTCGTTAGATTTTTCAGGGGTGGATCTTCTACCAGGTGGCTCGCTTATTGACTTAGAATATGCCGACGACATTGTCCTACTTGGTGAAGATGCTGACAAAATGCGGAGTCTACTGACTACCCTGAGAAACATGCATGCATGTTCGGGATGCGGTTCTTACCCTCTAAATGCAAAATGTTGCTTCAAGATTGGGTTGCGTTGGCACTTGAACTAGTGATAGGGAGTGAAGTAGTTGAGCGTGTTAACCGCCTCACTTATCTGGGGAGTCTCATCGGTGCCGATGGCCTGGTGGCTGACGAAATCTCAGCACGGATACAGAAAATTAGGTTGGCTTTTTTCAACCTGCGTCACTTATGGCGTAGGTGACATATCCGTTTGCTGACTAAACGACCAGTATACTGTGCAGCAGTTCGCTCCGTAATACTATGCGGATGCGGAACATGGCTGGTAAGAGTAGAGGACAGTCGTAGATTGCTTGTCTTCGATCATAGGTGTTTCCGAAGCATTGTTCATATATTCTGGGGCACTCGAGTAAGTAATGCTGTTGTTAAGAAACGGGTACTAGGTAGGGATGGCAGGTCAATAGATGAAGTAATGAAACTTCATCAGTTGAGGTGGTTGGGACATGTTTTACGTATGCCTAACCACCGACTGCCTCGTCAAGCTATGTTTTGCGATATAGGAGAAGCTTGGGCGAAAGCTAGGGGTGGCCAGACGAAAACATGGCACAAATCCATGAGGTCAGTGACAAGTGGACTGAGTCATGCTGGTAGGTGTCGACTACCTGGTTGGGTTCCGCGAGATGATAATAAACGATGGTTAGAGACCCTGAATGACGTGGCTCCAAACGGTTTGCAATGGCGCAGGTGCACACATTCTTTGTGTTCTCTGAAATCCTAACCTTGTGAACTTCTCATCGCTTCTATCTTTCTCATTCTAAATTTACCTCGCTGAATTATAATTCTTGAATAATAACTTCGAACGTTAATCTCTCTGATTACTACTAATACTTCTACTACTATGGGATTTGAATTGACAGTTACATATCTGTGCTAATGTGGTATGGCAACTTGAACTGATGTACTTGCGTACGAAGTTCTACGTTGCTGTTTGTCATGATGATAACAATTTCATCACACACGAGAAGCGTCATGATAGAATGGTTGCAAATATCGCTTGGCATTATAAATTATCTCTTGCAGATATGGTTTAAAGCAAGCAGTTGCATGGTAGACTCACATTTTGATAACTGAGCATCTAACTAAAGGCATTCATTTTATTGGGGACATGTCTGGGCATGGATTCAGTTGCAGTTTAAATTTGGTTTAGTGATGCATATGTTTAAATTATCGATGGACTGTACAATATCACAGCGTAGTAAGTCAATCAGCTACGATGTAGAACTTCGTACGTACGTACATCAGTTCAAGTTGCCATACCACGTTAGCACAGAGAGATCAAATTGTCAATTCAAACCCCATAGTAGTAGAGATATTAGAAGTATTAGTGGTAATCAAAAAGACTATAGGTCGAAGTTATGATTCGAGAAGTATATCTCGGGGGAATCACTTTAAAAAAAAGAGAAAAAGGGTTATGAGCAATTCATAAGATCAGCATTTGAACGAAGACAAAGAATGGATGAACCTGCGCCATTGCAAACGATTTTGAGCCATGTCATTCAAGGTCTTTAACCATCGGTTGTCACAGCGTAACATATGGATTAAAGTTTAACACATACGCTTACTAACTCAAAGGGTGTGCGTAGACTAACTAAGAGAATTATGTGATGTAGTAGTATATAATGGTTGATCAAATTATCTGAATCGTTTGGTAGGATGCACAACTCAAGCTTTTAAAAACGTTAGTTCATATGAGCGTGCAAAGACTCAAATTTTTTGAAATACATGATAGCTTCCGCTAACGTTCCGGTAAGTGTCTGAATAAAATAATCCAGTCTTTTGCTTGATAACTACAAAGGTTTATATTTGATTTGGCTTTGACAAAACAGCCTATATTAAGGACAATGACCTAACAGAAGACAAGCTCATATGAAACTAGTTAAGATTATGAAAGGAAATCAAATCAATCCAGTCATTGTGGGAAAACAAAAGGATGCTTTTACAACGTGTACAGTTACAAACCATTGATTAAGAGGATGAACACACCAACTCAGAAGCTGAATTTATTAACAAATTGATTGTCTAAAATGATCATTCCATTGTCGAGTTTCCAATCAACAACAGATAATCAAGACGGAAGGACCCTTAAATTATGTATAGAGCCTTCACCTATACATAGAGTTCCAGTTCAACAGCGGGATGAATATATTCGAAAATGTTTTACCAAGAAGTATTGGCATAATCATTAGAACACTTTGATGTAACATTTTGCATGTTTTGAGGCAACACATGTTCGATGCTTACAAAGTGCATCTATTTAGTTCTCTTAGACAATGATGCGGAGCCAACAAATATCACGTGATATTTCTGTGCCCAATCATATACCAATCGTAAGTTACAAATAGGATTTGACAATTGCATTATAAATATCGGTTAAGAGGGGACAAACAATTGATGAGGACAGGATTATAGGCTTTGAAAGAGATCAACTTACCTTATCTTCACTCGTGAAACTAACAACTCTGCTTGGAACAACTTCGGGCATGAGGCAACTCAACCTTCAAATTAGGCGGTTGTTCTAAATGGAGGTGAACAGAATGGGAGTTTCAGTATATTCACTTATCGAGAAACAGTGGATCACCAAATTCTCCAGGCAGGAACTTAGGTGTATTTAATGAGCAGAAAAAAACTGTTATCGAATGATGATGAAATATCATCCTGGATCATAAAAAATGTGCCATGGATCATTTCGAAAGAAAAACAGTTCAGTCATTTGGACAACCTATTTTCAGCAAAGTAAACAGTGTAAGGAATGCCTAAAATATATTCCGAATAATTATGGACAGGATTTTTCGATACAGTACATAGGTGATAACTTGTGATTCAACGTAAGAAAATCAATAAAACGGGATGGACTAATCGACTGAAAGTGATTAGATGTTTGGAGGTAAATAAATCTCAAATTTAATGGTCCCACAGGACTTCAGAAATGGTGCTTACTTCATTAGTTTTGCTGGATATACCCTAGATGAATTCACCCGGTCATGCATCCGCACTAGACCACTGCGGATTTCACCGTACAACGCATCTCGCATCAACTAGCAAGCTTGATCCACCCACTACCTAACATACCATTCGGCATTCAAATGTAACTTCGATTCTCTCCATTCCTGGATTCTGGTTTGACTTGATTTTGGGTGTTGCAAACAGAAGCGTTATCCAAATGGGAATATCAGTGCAAAAATTCAAACCCAGACTCCTCGTCTACTTTGATAGGGTCAATTATTAGTGCCTCATCAGTAGGCTCAAACTTTTAAGCATCAAGTTACTTCTAGTAGAGTGATTAAATTCATATCTAGATGACTGCCATTTGGAGGTCGGTGCTTTTTATAAGCTATAGAATGTTCTAGTCGAGTCCGTCAAGTCCCGTGCTTCCTCTCTTTCTCTTTTAATTTATATAAATGGTCTTCTTCAGTAAATATCGTCTCAGTTATTACTTTTTACAGTGAAAGTTAAGGAGGGAGTCTTTAATCAGGATGAAAAGTTTGCTTTTTACGAAGACCTGACTAAGCTTTAAGGTTGAGAGGATAACAATGTACTTACTTAAATTAATTCGAAATGTAGCGTAGTTCACCTGAGGCATACTTCATACAACGTCCAGTGATGTTCCAAAATGAAAAAATCTAGTGGCCTTGTACCCTATTATCGAAAGTCTTACATTGACTATGAAAATACCTTTCCACAGAGCTTCGCACTAGCAATATTGGAGAGCATTTTGACCAGTATGACAGCAGAACATTCATTCAGTCTTTCACAGTTGTATCCGGCACTGTTTGCATTATAAAAATCCTCTCTCCAAAACGATAGGGATATATTTAAGCGTATGGAGAGGTGAGCCACGAACTCCGTTCGAGGGTATGTTGACAGAACAAATGTAATATTAAAATATCTTAACTCTGTAACACTCGTAAAAGTATATAAGTGAACGGGTTAAAGGAAAACAAAATAAGAATATCGAAAACATATAAATCACTTTTTAATTTTATAAGGGTTTCTTCACTGGTTTAAATAAACATATCTACAATCATTATGACACAGGGAAAATATTCACAAGAAATGGAGGAAATAAGTCTAAAGAGTGCGCGCGTTCCCAATCCCGCGGGTCTCTGTTCACACCAGGCCGTTTTATTGTTCTCCTACCGACTTGATGGTTGCTCAGACACGTGGATGAGAAAGTTCGTCCAACGTCGGACACATTGCCTCGATAATATTTCCGCACGATTGCTTGATCGTTACTTGTAGATATGCTACAAAGTAAAGTCTCTTTACCTGTCCCCATCTGTTTCAGAGCTGTCGAAGATAACTCGTGGTTAAGTCCAGTCTCGTCTTTGAAGCTGTGCGGGTTTGAGAAGGTCAGTCCCTCAAGAACTTTCTAAGGCAGTTATATGAGACAAAGCATCTGCAACTACATTGTTTACTTCAGAAACATGTTGATTACCTGAAGCAGACTGCTAGATGTAGTTCAGTTGTCGGGACTCTAAGGGAGAGTACCTGTCATGAGATGAGCTAAGAGAAAAGTGTGAAGTTTTATGATCTGTCAAGAGTGCATTTTTGAAGGTGTTATACCGCACAATCCCTTACTAGGAGTCCTCGGCCGAAAGCGCATTTTCTTGATTCAGCGTCCTTCAACCGTCTCAGAAAGAATGCGGAAGGTTGCTAGGTAATTTCCACACATTGTTTTAAGACTCCTTTGGATTTCATTCTCCATTGATCTTGTTTTGATATTTGTCCTGTTTTGACAAGCCTATTTAGAGTCCTTGAGATTTGATTGTCCAACTTTTTTATAGGGTTTGTGTCGACGACTGGTTTATATACGCTTCTGTCCTGAAGTAGCTCCTCGGCTTTCTTGATATATTCCTCCTTGTCCATGATTACTGTTGTGCGTCCTTTGTCCGCTGGAACTATGACTATATCTTCTATGGTTTTGAGTTTCTTCAGAGCTTTTCGTTGTTGTGTTGTTAGTTGGTTGTTGTCTCTCTTCCGTCGAGTTAGTGGCACTATGGTTTGTCTTATTTCTTGTTGAGTTTCTTCACTTATTCCTGCCGTTTTGAGCGATGACTCTAATGCCGCGAAGAATTCCAGTTTTGAAGCGTCCTTCGTGTTATAGTTTAATCCTTTTTGGAGTAGCACTGCTGTCCTTCTCAGAGACCATAATCAACGGCTATGTCTATGGACTGTTAGACTGTCAGTCAACTGCTAATTCTATCATGTGGTCGAATTCGGTTTTAGCAAGTCTTAGCTCTGGAGGTGTTAGTCGATGAGCCTTCGGAAACACAGGTGGCCCTGTAGTCGTGATGTGATATGCATGGGTTTATGTAAATCCATGTTGATTTAAACTCACCCCTTCCAGTGAGATGCTATTGGTTTTCTGTTTGGCTGAAAACTGGATCGTGTAAACAATCTTTTGTGTTCTTTGGACAGATGCTAGTTCTGTGTCAACGTGACAACGAATCTTCATCATTACATCAACCTTGTTAAGAAGACAGCCTCGTCCACCGGCAACAGCTGCTGTTAACGCGTGCCAGTAGAGGAGTTTCTCGGAATGTTTGTGATGGGAGATTTGGGTCCAGGGAATCTATGGGGTTTCTTGAGCGTTTCGGGAGACTTGCCATGGATGTTATGGCGCCAACACTGATTTGGGTTATCTGCCTCTTGAGGTCTAGAAACATATCTTTTCGGAGATGAGCTTCTTCCGGGGAGTATCTGGTCGTCCGCGATTGCCCTGAAGATCTAGAAAGCACGTGGATGTATTACTCAGGTCTGTTATTTCATTACAGGTGAAAAGAGACGTTTTTTAGGCAGAACAAACCTCGAGTTCTGGTGATTTCCAGAAACTGATTGGCAGGTGTAGCTACTTCGTTCATGGCGTTATTCCGGAGCGAGACAAGAACAGACTACGATTTTTAGGGAGGTTTGGATAAGAGAAGACCAAGAACCCCTCTTATACTGAGTGACATTTCTGTTGCCAAACCATGTTGTAGTCCAATGTCGTGGATTAGTTAGTGTAGCTTTAGTCGATCAGTTAGGTCTCCCCGTTTCAAAACCGATTTCTGGTGTGTCGTAAGGTTCAGAAACATCATCAGAAAACATACCAGATGTAGAATCCTTTTTGGAGGGTTTAGTGTGGGAAAATCCCTCCATGTATACATACGTCATATGTTCTTGCTGACTCTTTGTGTTATACATTCTGGTGGTCTGTTGAATCCCATTTTGGGATTCTAACATTTGTATTTTGTTATAGGTTATATTTTTGAACCCTTCTTCAGTTTCTATGTTTCTTCCAGAAATGTATTATGTTGTTTAAGTTGATACTTGTAGAATCCTTTTTGAATGCTTTGTGTTTTGGAAAATCCCTCCATGTTTACATATTTTGTTATGACTTGACGGACCTTTTCTGTTGACATTTTTGGTATTTTATTTGATTCCAATTTGAGATTTTATCACTGTATATTGTTATTCTTTCTATATTTTGTACTTATATTGAAGTTTTTATGTTTGCTTCTGAACTGTACATACGTTGTTTAAAATTGATATAATATGGCTACCGCCACATTTTTGGATTCGACATCGTGCAGTATAGGAGTTCACCTAGACCTCGGAACATTGATACTCGTTCAGAGTAATTTTGAATTGGAAGACGTAAATTTCGTTAGGTATTATTTGTATTTCCATTTATCACTTATTAATAGACCATTTTCCCCTAGAATTATTGTGTTTTAAATTCAAAATCGGGAAGTGCGTCCAACATACGTCTATTGGAATCGAATTGAACTGTCACGATAGAGAATTCAATTACAATACTTGATTATGGGGACAGCCATATCGAATTTTGATTCTTCAGCGACTGATACGTCTATTTGGACTGGAACGGTGCAATTTGGATCGAAATTTGGAGCCCCTTCCAGAAGTGTAAACACCTTGTGTTACTGCGGAAGGAATAGACGTGTAATATTGTTTAGAATCGTTGCCTACCCAGATATATTGCTCTCTTTGGGATTAACTGGGCAAGGCGCGTATCTAAACTTTCCGAATCGTTATTCCTAAAAGTAAAACTAGGTTTTACTTTCAAACCAGATGTGACATCTGTTCAACTCACGCGATATTGCCTTTACTACCGTGGGGAGTCGAGCACGTGGGTCTGTCAAGCCGCGCTCGTTTAAGTCATTCCCTGCACAGTAGAACTAGGCTTAGAGGTTTTCAGACCAGAATGGCATGAGTTTGAGGCCCGGATACACAAGAGACAATCTGTAGAAGCTAAGGCGTGTTCCAATATAATAAAAATAGAATATTTACAAATTTGAATACAAAAGTGGTGTCAGCATATGTAAAAATATGTAAATACATAAAACATGATGACAAAAGTCAGACTCTTGGTGTCTCGTTAAATGTACCAGACCACGGTGAGCTCAGCAATCGTAATGTCACGGATATTCCCAGTTGGATAACGCTTCTGTTTGCAACACCCAAAATCAAGTCAAACCAGAATCCAGGAATGGAGAGAATCGAAGTTACATTTGAATGCCGAATGGTATGTTAGGTAGTGGGTGGATCAAGCTTGCTAGTTGATGCAAGATGCGTTGTACGGTGGACTGCTTTTAGGAGAGACTTGATAATCATGTACTTACATTCGGACTATCATCTCCCTGTTGGACAATCGGTTCGTGATGCATATCTTGAGACCTGCTAGTTGTTATCATTGCCATCTCCTCAGATCACTTACTTAACGTATCTTGCCTATTATCATTCTTTCCTCTCCCTTGCTAACACAACGGTCCTCTCTCACAATCTTCACTACCAATTAACAAACAAAATTCATCTATACATTACTCAGTTCTGAAATTTTATTCATATTAGCATTAGAATTTTGTCCTCATTATCCTTATTTCTCCAAATTGCAACTAACTGATCTCCGGTCTGGTAATGTGACGGCTGCTGGTATCCAGAAACCCTACTGCCCTGAAACAAACGTTTTCATTCAAATCCCGAGACATACAAACTCACAACCAACTGCCAACTGACTAGAATTAGACAGCCGAGTGGCTAGACCTCCATTACCGAACACCTGGAACCGTACCTAAAGAACAAGAATCGAGCGCGAAGAAATCAAATTGGTTTACACTAGCTCGTGAAAAAGATATTGGATATTGGATGGATATTGGACAACGTTACTCAATCTTGGCGGGAGTGTTAGTACGTTACTAAAGTTTGTTTTTTTCTAATGCTCATATTAGTTGTGTTTTCTATACCAAAAGCCAAGTCGTACATCTTGCCTACTCTAGTGCGATTGCACAGGTTTTCTCTGTGTTCCTTTTTTCACAAACTGTAACATCATACTTTAGTCAGGACTCAAGAATACCAAATTTTTTTAATTAAACACAAGAAAAGCATCTGTGGTGTAATTCTTGTCAAAATTTTTATAAAAAATGTAACGAATTTTCTTAAAACCATTTTGCAACTATCAGATGTGGATGCCACTCCCATTCCGGTTGTCCGAGCATCAGCTTCATGTGTTTTTTGTGGTCTAGTTCTCATTCATTTTCTGTACTTCAAATGGAAACTCTTCAGCAGTCAATCGACTCATATAGATCTTCGAAATTTATAGTATTGTGAAGGTCCCATCTTTCTCTGAATGAAGGGGAGAATTCCTGTGATTTAATAGTCGATGCAAGAAGGGGAGCTCCGGACGTCAACAGTTCGATTTCGCTATTTAGGCTTTCTTAGAATGTCCTCTTAAATGATTGGTCATAAATGAGGGAAGATATTAGTTTTGCTATTTTCAAAATCGTGCAATGTACAGTAAACTAATATTAAAGCACTTCATAACCTACGGCAAGATAATGAAATTAGAATGGGCTTTCACACTCTGTCTTCATAAGATAGGTTAGTGAGACCCGCAACCATTTTGGTCCCTCGTCGTTGAAATCGTAACATGCAACAAGTAGGATAAACGCTACTTTCGTTTCACCCTAGCCATCTCGTAATTTATAAAGTATGTAGGTATCAAACAGTAATTAGCCTAATCAGACGAAATATATTCGAAATCTTCACCATTTCAATTGATTTTGTTGTGACTGACATTATAGAATTCCTTTGCATGTCATAATTACTTATAGCGTCTGTTCTCCCAGTTTATGTCCGCATAATCTAATATTCCTCAGACCTTGAGTTACTTCGTCCAAACTCGACTATTATGTAAATCCATTTAGTGTCTATATCGCTCTTAATCAAAGCGGTACAGTTGTATTTATCTCCTTTCAATTTATATCATTCCATACAATTAATTGTTTGACCTCATTCTTCCCTTGTAAACTATAATTTTTGTTTTAGACTTTTCATCGTAACTTACATTCTCTACTTCTTATTTCGTTGGCTCCTTTTGTCTTGCTAGTATGTGGTACATAACGAGCCAATACTGGTTCAGGTCCCCACATATCAGTGATTTGTCGACTAAATCAATCGAAAAACTAACATGGTTTGTGAAATTCAGATCGGCAATTCTCAATAGTGCTAACAATATGCGGTGAAGTACTCTAAAAGTACTTCGGTCGATTTATTTAGTCTAGAACACTGAACGCAAGGTCTGGTGAAATATACTGACCTCTTCCTAAATTCATTTTGTCTCCAAAAAGGTGCTCACCACTTCACATCAAAATATGTAACTTCAATTTCGTTTTTTTCTGTGCTAGTTTACTCCCCTTTAATGGTATGTTAAAATCTTATTATTTGATATGCTGTTAAGGTTTAAAGTATGTTCATTTGTGCCTTGTCTTATACTGGTTATCATTGGGTTATTGACATCACTACACGGTATTGTGAATTGAAGTGACCATTCAGAAATTTAAATTGTTTTAATAGAGCAACGTTTTTCGCTTTGTACTCAAAAATTTGTTCTAATCTTTGCAAAAACCGTAGTGGATGACTCAATCAATCAATCAATAGCAGCGTAAAACTCCGTACGTACGCACATCAGTTCATGTTGCCGTACCACATTAGCAGTGGATAACTAAATATTGTAAAAGATACCCAAGGTTTTCTCTTGTTCGCTCAGGACAACCGTCTCAGTAATTGTTTTTTCCGATAAGTCATTATTAATATTCCCTATACGGCGCCTTTTTATTTCCATGGTTTCATTTCGTCTCATGTTATGTAGTCTCTGAAACTCTAGATATTCTCATGTTGCTAAATTAAAAGGGTTACAACCATACACTGGTTTTTTATTAAACCTTCAATCTTTTTTGGGAAAACCGTGCATTAACTTAATATATTGAATTGTTGGTTTTAAGATATTTTTCCACATATCTTTCAGGTATATCTCTTGGATAGATGTCCATGTTCCAGTCTCAGAATTAACTTCTTCACCTTCGTTATAAACTGCCAACTATTAAGGAACACCTTCAAGACGATTGCTAATGATGAACTGCAGAATCGTTGAAGGAATGATTTGTACTATGATTGATTCAGAAGTAAATTGTCCGTGTGATGAGTGCAGAAAGAGAAGTTCTTGCAATGGGATTTCTTTTTTCTTTCTGAAGAATAAGCTTTGGGTCGAAACTATTTCTGAAGAAGAATTGTCCCAAAGATTAAAGGTTCAGTTATTCTCTTATGTGCAACACGTTCATAATAAAGGCTCTTAATCCACAATTTGAATTTCAGCATGATACCCTTCGCCATACTATTCATGATTGTTTCAAATGTGGAGAAGCCGTAGTTGATATCCAGGCTTGCACAAGCGTTTGCAATGTTTCTTTTCAGTATACCCTTGGAGAATCTGTAATGAATTGGACTAGTAATGCTGTTGTTCCTGTCTCTTCTGTGGTACTTCATCACACTATAAAAGGAATTTATTCTTAGTTGCATTATCATATTGTTTTACCACTTTCAATCGCCCTAGAATCGCTTTGTAAAAAGCAAGATTTACTTAATAACAAGTTATTGGCACTAAATCGTCATACAAATCGGCTTCATGAAAAATTAATGCTTCCAAGTAACAGTGATAATTTAAATGTCAAGTTAGCTTAGTGAGTGAAGAAATGAAAAACGAAGATGTGACACTGGTTAGTTTTTATAAAATTTCCACGTTTTTTTTATTGTAGTAATTTCCATCTTTGAAATCGATATTTCCAGTCGTATACAGGATACGTCTTTGATATTTTGATCTGTCAAAAGCTAGTCAACAATAGAAAAACAACATCAGTAATTACGGTGACTAGCTGGACTGTAATTAGTAGCTTGGTTTTTTTTTAAATTTTAGATCTAACCAAAAAACTTCTGATCAGTATTTCTTGTTTTTTCCCAGTTTGCATCCATATAAATTGGGATTAATTTAGAAAACACACTTTGAATACATAATGCTATTGTTGACATTATTAAAATCTTAGCTAATTTATACTTCAGGTTCTTATTTGAGGGTATTTGACTGAAGTCAGTTTTTGTAGTATTGAAAATATCTTTGATGAATTCTCATAAGTCAGTATGTACATGTTAAGTTCGTGCAACTCCATCCTTGTTTAGTTCAAATACTTAGAATCTAAAATATTCTGCCTAATGTACGATGTTCTTACCTTCTAATTATCTTTGTTTAGTTCATATTTAAAGGTTAACTCCTTTCTGGGTCATGTTGCTTAACTTAGAGTGCAAATGGTTATTCTAGAGTTACACCATCACTAAAGTAATGCATTTGATTTCTGAGAAGCGGCTTTGCAAATATAATGAGAGGATAACATTGTTTAATTAGTTTCGTCATTCATTTGGTGCTAATCTCTCATTTTTGCATGTAGCACTTGGATATTCATGTTGATCTTGCAAATGTTTCGTGATTTAAGCTCATTCCGCTCACCTTAACTGAGGGTTCAAATTTCCAGGTGGCTGTTTGCTATCATCAGATCGACAGCATTTTGTATTTACTTCAGATCAATAATTACAGTTAAATTTTTGTGAGTATTGATTTTCTCCGTACAACGTTTGCATATAAGCTCCAGAAAAGTTAATTCTTGATTTTCTGATGAAATAATTTGGATAAAATCAACATTGTTAAGGATTTTTTCTTCATAGTTTGTTAGTTTGGATTAAATTGATTGTTTTGAGAAACGCGTAATTCTTCTGGCAGTGCAAGTATCCTTTCTTAAGTTCACACTGTTTTTGCTTTTCTAAGTATTCCACAAAAAGGACTTCAACTTGTAACTATATAATTACATACAAACCAGAACCCTTCCACGGTATGGGCAGCCGGGAAGTAACATCCGCCGTCAGACCCATAAAAGCACACGAGACCGAATTGGTCACAATCAAATCCTTTCTACATTCATAGTAGGGTTGTTATCGTTATAATTTAGACTGTCACAATCATGTTAATCAATATAGTTTCATATTGCCGTAAACATAACTATAAAAAGCATGCTTATAACTATTTAGTGCCCCAAGGATAGTATTTCTTGAATTGCGATTGGTCATAACAGCTTTTCACCTCATTAAATCTTTTTTAACTCCATTAAACTATTTTTTTAGACATCCTAAAATATAGATCATAGTAGAATCCATTGTTATTCGTGCTGTGATTGTGCTATATTCTCCACAAACAATAATAAGCACTTTTTAGGATAGGTAGGTTATAGCTAACACTAGAATCAAATGCATTATCCAGTTAGTTAATGTCCATATAGTCATTAATTTCTTCAGCGTATAAAGCGAAACGTACCAGGTTCAAGTCTGATTGTCGACATAAACACTGAAATACAGATGAATTAAGCTGGTAAATCCTAAATCGAACAAAACGCTTATCTTGAGTTTTACTGTCGGCTACAATCTGTTTATTCCGAAACTTTGTTACGAAATGGTTATATTGAGACAATTCACTCACGATGTAGACGGGCCACCGAAAGTTGATCAAACTCCAGTCCTTTGTGTATGTCAACAAAATACTTATTCACCATCATTCCCGTTTGTCTGACATATTTCTTGTTACGTTATTTTAAGCCAAATCAAATTGTCTGTCATAAATAAATTCATTGAATGAGTTTCCACACTCATTTAACAATCTCAGTATAATAAATAAATATCTTTTTTTTTCAAAAAAGCATTTTTATTTTTAACATTTCAAATTTATCCTCAATTCACTGCTTATTATTTTGTTTCGTTTTATCAGGATTTCAATTGTTCATATAATTACTATTCAACAACAGGCTTACTTTCTTCACCATCTACTCAACATCTTTTTTGTGAAGCATCGAAATATTTATTCACAGCCAAAAGTATGCTTAAATCCTATTGATTAAATAAATACACTTAGTCGACAATATACCAATTTCTCCAATATCACATGTACAACCGCCTACATGTGAAATGATGTTATCAAGTAATCCAAATGCTGCTAACAATGATCAGGTAATCTTTCTTATTTTTACTAGTTAATGCTTTTATCGTTTTGTTTTCTGTTGCCATAAATTTTAAAAGACATTATTTTAAAGGTGAAATTTTTGTTCACTATCTGTCAATTTTATCAGCTTTGAATTCAACAGTCAATCAATCAATCAATAGCAACGTAGAACTTCGTACGTAAGTACATCAGTTCATGTTGCCATACCACAGAGATGCAATTGTCAATTCAAATCCCATAGTAGTAGAGGTAGTAAAGTTATTAGTAGTAATCAGAGAGATTAGGGTTAGAAGATATTATTCAAGAAGTGGAATCTGACAACCAAGACACCCTTTCCATGGTGTGGGCAGCTGGGAAGTAACATCCGCCCTCATACCACCATTAAAAAGCACACGAGACCGAATTGGTCACAATCAAATTCTTTCTACCCAAAAAGAATTCAACAGTGGTTTTTAGTTTAAACTTCTCTCATTAATTTATATTTTATTTCATTCGAAAAGTATCGTTATTTTACTTCTCCAACATGATTAAACCAATCAATAGGGATTCTCAACAGTTTCGATACTTTTTTTTTAAAATTACTATTCCTAATCATAAAATATATTTAGTGTAAATAAGTACTTCATCAGACAGACTATCAATCATATTAGTTAGTAATGGTTATTGGTGAAAATATATATGAAAAGTATTAATTTGTGACAACTGTTAGCCGAAACATCATTAAATAATATGAATTTCTTTAATTTTTTATTTAAAGCAAAGTATAGAGTATGCATGTATATTATAGTAATGCTATAAATTTAACTGTTTGAACTTAATCGATTTTGTGACTGACAGTTTGCCAAACATAATCATTTCTATCTTCTGTATTCCATTTATTGTAATGAATTGTATGTTTGTTTACAGAAGAAAAAAAAATATTTGTCATTATAAAAATGATTTCCGTTGTAATTGAAACGATGACTTGGTCAATAATTGTTTCATACATACACAACATACATTTTATTAACATGAGAAAGAGTAGGAATAACAATTTGAGCAGAATAAAAATGAATTCATTGTAATTCTTTAAGTTATCATTAGCGCTACACCTCAGTCAGTCAGTCAGTTGCAACGTAGAACTTCGTACGTATGTACATAAGTTCATGTTGCCATACCACATTATTAGCACAGAAACGCAAATGTCAAATCAAATCCCATAGTGATAAAGATAGTAGAGGTATTAATGTTAATAAAGAAGACTAGGGTTTGAAGATATTATTCAAAAAATATAATTCAGTGAGATAAGATTAGAAAGACAAAGGTAGAGGTGCTGGCTAATCCAGAAGATTAGGATTTGAGAGAGCTCAAAGAGTGGATGCACCTGCGCCATTGCAAACGATTTTGAGCCATGTCGTTCAAGGTCTCTAACCATTGATGACTTTCGTCTCGCGGACCCCAACCAGGTAGTCTACATCTACCAACATGACTCAGTCCACCTGTCAGTGACTTCATGGATTTGTGCCATGTTTTGGTCTGGCCGCCCCTAACTTTCTTCCAACCTATTCCTACGTCGCAAAACATAGCTCGTCGAGGCAGTCGGTGGTTAGGCATACGTAACACATGTCCCAACCACCTCAACTGATGAAGTTTCACCACTTCATCTATTGATCTGCCATCCTTACCTAGTACTCGTTTCCTAACGACAGCATTGCTTACTCGGCTGTCCCACGATATACGAGCAATGCTTCTTAAACATCTATGATCGAATACTAGTAACCTACGAACATCTTCTACTCTTAACGGCCATGTTTCACAGCCATATAAGAGAACGGAACGAACTGGTGCGCAGTACACCCGCCCTTTGGTTAGCGAACGGATATCACGCCTACGCCATAAGTGACGCACTACACTTACATTCTGTCATATGTTAAAATTAAAATTTTGAATAGAATTTTAGCATACCCTACAAAAATCAAACTGTTTTGAATTTAGTATGAAGTCAAAATCAGTGTCATGGTTTTTTTTCTTTCTAAATCAAAGCTCTAAACTTAAAAAAATAGTCTAATTTTATGCTTGTGTTTAATATTATCTTTCAGGAAACAGAAGAGAAACGGAGAAATGAATTACAGAAGAAGTTAGCTGATAAACTAGTGAAATCTAAGAGTAAAGAATTGAAAAGACATGGGATGCTTCGGAAACGATAATATAATCAGTGTTTTTTTTCTTTGTACTCATCATGAAAACTCTCTATTTTTTAATTTATTTTTGTTTCTTGGTTATGTATTAGTCGCAAAAGATCACATGTCAGGTATTTTTTTTTTTATGAGTTAATTCTATATCGTCTCAGACTTTGTATTTGTAATTAAGATTGCTAGCAGTGCTAAATGATAAGCCGATCTATAAGAATCATAATCTGGTAATATTTTCACTGGTATTTCTTTAATTGATTGATAATAAGCCATGTTTACAATGAAAAATCGGTAGCGATATAATTTGTCAATTTATTTGACGGAATATGAACTTTTTGGTCATCATTACTGACATTTACGTTCTTACTAGTAATAAACGAAATTTACATTTAGGAGAATTTGTGATTCATTTGCCAAAATGATGTCAAAAAATAAATTTAGTGGACTGCAACATTACTGAAATATGAATGTATTAGGATAAATAAAACTATTCTTAGTGACAGATGCCCGCTATAATTCTTATGGATTAGTGTGAGAAATTCTAGCTACCAAATTGGCTAAGAAGATAATTTACTGATCAGTGAAGAAATAAATGTAGACAGTTTCACCGTTATCGAGATGACTGTTCATTCCAATCCTAATTTTGGACTAATCTATGATGTACATTAACCGAAATCATTAATACGATTTAGGATGTATTGTTCATGCGAAATTTGTATTACCCATGTATGATTAATTTGTATCCTAAAATATATTTTGATGTAGACGACGAGGCATCCATTCTTTGTGTTCTGTCAAATCCTATTCTTCTGAATTTCACATTAATCTTTTTGATTACTGCTAATACTTCTGCTATCTGTACTACTATGGGATTTGAATTGATAATTTGATCTCTCTGTGATAATGTGGTATGGCAACTTGAACTGATGTACGTACGTACGTACGAAGTTCTACGTTGTAACTAACTAAGACGACAAGGCAATTTTCATGTAACGATGTAGCTCTTGAAATTTCGCTAGGAAGGTAAAATGACAGAACCATGTATAGAGACGCTAACTAATATTAACGGTATTCAGAGCCATTCGGAATAAATCAAGATTGTTCCCAATCGACTAGCACTGGTCAAAAAAAAAGAAAGCTTCAGGTAACAAAACACGATAAACATTACCCTTTATGAGCGGAAATACCTTATGGGGATGTTTCTTTCAGCCGCTTTTCAGGATCTGCTCCAGTTGAGATGGTTTGTAAAATATGGGTTTTACTTGAATAGTAATACACTTCATTATATTTTTTTGATTATTATATATATTTTAAAAACCAACTGAATTTTCATCATTATGCACATTAAATAAACCTATTTTATTATTTTGAATGGGGAATTTTTTTTGTAAACATTACATTGAACTATACACAAAATAGTTGAAGATGATAAATTAAAAATCACATATGATGTAAACATCAAGAATTTTCAAAGTACAGAAATTATACATTAAATATGTAGAGAATCACATTAAAAGTTTAATTCTTTTTTTTCCAAAATACATTAATTGAGAAATTTACAAAAAGACTGGTTTTAGAAAGACTAACTGAATGGTAGAGACATAGAATCATGGATATTCATGTAGTGTAGAATTAACCTTCTGACGGATCACTGTACATTATAACATTACATTATCTTGTTTCCGTCGAATATGTTTCACCTAAATGTGTATTCATACTGAACTGTTCTAGGAAGGCTTGTTTAACGGACATTACATGCCGTGCAAGACGTACAGCATCATTCCAGCGTAAACCAACTAGTCTATGCAGGACTGGTAAAGTTAACAACATAAATGCTTGCCCATCTACAGCTTCCGCCGCAAGCCATGGCCACATTTCTCGACAATCAGTACTGCCAAGGTAGGAAGCTAAGTCAACAGGTGTCCAAAACATAGGATTACTTGGTAAAATTACTCTTGGAATATTGCAGAGCGATAAGTCAATATCCCTCTCCATTAGTAGGATATGATTCGGAGGTAGTTGTGCAGTAACTGGACTTACTGAATTTGCACTGTTACTGTGTGAAAAATTTGGAATGCTCGGTACAGTCAGACAGTAACTTGATGGTGTTGTTGATAAGTGATTCAGATGCCATGAATGCTGAAGGTTATGGACAGAAGGAGTTTGTACATTTCTCTGGGTATCTAAGGCAACAGTACATACGGGATGACTGTGTGAATCACGAATGGGTAGTGTTTGGTGGCTTGCCATCATTGTATCTGAACTGATGATACGTCTTTTGCTTGATGGATTAATAAAATTAGAGCGGACAGAACGTTTGGATCTTGTACGCCCTTTGTTATTGTTTTTGAAACCATTTGAGGCATTTTCAGTACAATTTTCCGTCGAGTTTCGTGAGTGGTTTTGTTGCTTTCGTTTAGCTCTGTTCGTAGGATTATTGTTCCTTGAATTAGGGACTTCACAATTATTTGACTGAGAAAAAGATTGTGATTCAAGCCTACTAACCCAATTTTGATTGTTTTGCAGTGATGCAGATCGGGTGACGTGACTGTTAGGAGCACCCGAAATAACGCGATTCTGATCGCTATCAGGACAAAAAGAGTCAGTAAATGCGCGTAAGGCGGTTAAACGCCTTTTCCACCCTGGAAGACGATCAAAGTAGCGCGAACGTAAACGAACGTTGCAGAAAGACGGACAGTCGTTAACCAAAGAGATATTTTCGAAAGAGGGTTGAACTGCACTTAAGTTAGGGATTATTCCATTTGATTCCTGTAAAAATAAACGATCAGTGTCCAATCCATTGACAACTGGTGGTAACGTTGACTTTGACTCTTCCGGTGGTGGAGGGGGAACAAGACTGAGGAGATGTGGACATGCTTCGAAAACTAGGGAGATCTGTAAAATCATTAAAAGGAAGTAAATTAATTGGGAAATTTATGAGATTGACCACAATCAAAGAATTAATGAAGTACCGTTCCCTAATATAATCACTCTCTAACATGATGATTTATGTATTCTACCCTTACTTCTGAAGGAATGATTATAATAATGATAGAGTTAGAGGAGAGGCGTGTACTTCGTAAAGAATTTAAGAAAACCAATGTCTCGTACACATTACAAATGGTTGTGCACCAACAGGTAAAAAACCTCTTGATTGTCTTAAATGCCAATGTACCATAGGATTAAATGAGATGTAGTTTTCAAGATGGGACTCATGAATAGTGCGCATACTGCGACTAGCAGGAGTCCCATACCGAGACAGTACGGCCATCCACAGTGCTCCCAGGTTTCTAATGGTGGTCTGGCAATGATTCATTCATGATTTCAAGGCAAAACTATGATTTTCACAATACTCTAATGCGAAATCAACAAATGCCTTGTGAGGTTCTCGGAGTTCTAGTGAGAAGATATGACCAGCGGAGTTCAACCCTGTCGGGTGTAGGCAGTAACTACCGACGACAATGGGTGGGATTGCGCAGATTGGTCAGACTAAGACATCAACACTGTTGGATGCTGGCTCAGTGGCGCAGAGGTTAAGCGTTCGCGATTCGAATTCTACATATCTCTGAATACTGGATGTGACAGTATAGTGAATAAATATGCAGATATGAGTTGATTTACAGTAAGAATATAGTGAGGGCAACTAATGCACACCACTAGGTGTATTCTGTCAAAGTACTTGGTATGTTAAAAACTTTATTTTCATATAATACAACTTTCTATATGACCTAAAATAATGGCATTCGATTTTATTCTATTTGACAATGTTGGGTGATTACTGAGTTTTCTGTCTGATCAGTTTTAAAAAGTGACCACTATTGAACATATACGGTCAACACAATTAAGCAGCCATAGTTGTTGCAGATGAGAAATTTGTGTTTGATAGCTATACTGTCTTTCACTTGAATACTTTAACAGACAAACAAACAAATATTACCCAGATTCACATCATAACAATTATATTAAACTGAAATAAAATTGTGGAGTTGAACAATAAGTAATTGAACAACTCAAGTACGAAAAATGAAGTTTACAGGATGAGGTTCATGTATCTGGTTTCGACTTTAATGATGATCAACTTATGTAAAAAATGATGAGACCGTCACTTCCTTTCAAACAAGATGTAAGCATACGTGTGCATGTCGTACAATACATAAGAGTGAAAAAAATTAGTCAATAAATAAACTGTCTTTAGCAGAATAATTGTTAGCTTACATTAAGTTACAATAATGTGACACAAATAAAACTCCTATGGCATGTTCTTATGGTGAAGGATATTTGACAAATACCTGCAGGAAAAACCTCCATTCAGTCCAAAGAAAGCTATTAGATGCTTAGAACCGTTATCCAAATTAAGGTAGGACAGAAATTTTATTTGAATAATTATGTTTATTGAGATGGCTAATAGAAATCGATCAGGTAATTCGTACTTTGACAATTACAATTATTTCAAAACTTACAAAACAATTTATTTTTCACTAGGTCAAAAATTACCTGTCTACAATATTCTTCAACTGCTCTCGTTCGACAGCAAACTTCTACTGGCACTTCAATTTTTATTCCTCGTCGAGGACATCTCACACTAACTAAAACTACACGCATAGCTTCACGACGTTGTTCTATGACTTCTTGTTTAGCCAGTTGAAGAGAAGGATGAATAGTGCTTCGTACTCGAAAATTACTATTTGATTCAGTTGTTCCACAATCTTTGCTGTTTATCGCTGATGATTTGCGACCGTTGAGAACAGATGCCATTCCAGTAGCCCAATCAGCTTCGAACATTCGTAACACGCGCACAGGTTTATGAGCAGCCCGAACCAAACGAGTAACTAGGCACTGCATTACTCTTGTTACTGAACCAGGACCGAACTGACGAGGCAACAAATCTAGATTAGACTGAAAGTGTAAATTTAAAACTGCATTTCGTTTGTTGTGTCATAGGAATATTTCATTTTTAAAATTATTATAATTAGTCTAGATTTTATTTTTCAATTAGAATTATTGGATGTGAACAACGCTACTCATAGAACTGCAAATAATTCCACTTTTATGCTAACTTAGAGATTGATACGAAAAAAGAAATCTATTGAAGAATAATCCACAGTAGTTTTTAGAGGACATTGCCAGGAAAACTGATGTTATTCACAAATAATTGTTTCATTGCATACTAGATAGGTTTTCGGCTGAAAGAAAAAGATTAATCACTACACGATAAAATCATTTAATGAACATTTTCCTAGTAATTGTTTCATATCAGTTCTGTTTTAAAAAAGAAACTTCCTCTCCGTATTACGTAAAAGCTAAACACTAGGTAGTGTATTGTAGATTGTGTATTACATAATAATGGGAAAAAGCACAAACTAATCTATGTGTTATCTCCGTCGCTTGTGTTGTTAGAGATATTTAGCAACGTTGTTAAATAATGAATAATCAATGGTGTTATTATAAATTATTAGTTGGAAAGCAAATTGAAATTGAGAAAATCATATCTGTGTTTAAGTAGAAGGTATCGCAGAAATTTATACGCGGCATTGGATAAATTACTGTGAGTCACACTATAAAACAACTAAGTTTTTGTTCCATATAGAAAGTTTTCCGAACAGTAAAACTAACACGCATCCAAACTACATTAACCTTGCCATATCAATAAGATTGTGCACTGATAATATCTAGCGATATATTATGGTTATCTGAGTTGAAATTCGTCTGAATGATAAATGAGATTAGAGTACTGTTTGATTTTCAAGACCTTGACAACATTTTAAGATGCAATGAAGTTTATGCGAATAAAAGGTGTGTACACGCTTATCTCACATTCATAATCCATACAGTATATTTCTTGAGAAAAAAAACCACAAGTTCCAAATAATTTAACGATAAAAAAAACAAAACAAAACAGAACATTTCAAAAATGCTTACTTTACATAGGAAAGGACCAAGATAACAACGTGAATTAATATAAATAGGTGGGCATATTTCCTCTTTGATATATGGTATAGTATAACTTTGCAGTTCATGTGTAGGTTTTAAACCTCCAGGAATACAACAGTCTTGATTTAATTGTTTAAATGAAGTGGCTGACTTTTCATCATCTTCACCATCATCATCATTATTGCAAAGTTTTTCTGATGAACAGTTTTCTTTAATCATCTCGTAACCACTAGGAGGAATCAATGGATGACCAACAAATTCTGACCAACCAACAGGATATAAATCAGTAGATCGTGCATCCATTAAAATTGGTCTACGTTGATAATGAGCTATTTTATCATCATCATCATCATTATCATTAGTTAAGCTTTCTATACATGGTATATCTGGTAGAAGCCATAACAAATGAGGATATTCAACTCGTGTAACTGTAGCTGTACAAAGTGCCGGTCCAATATCACAATGATGCGTTTTCAAGTGAATCGATGATGATGATACAGGTGGTGGTATCATTTCTAATTTCATGCCTAATAAAAATCTGTTGGAATTTGTTTCATTCCTATCCGATTTATTATTATTATAATTGATATCTAATTCATTAGGTTGATAATTTTTTGCAGAATGTAATAATGAACCGAAATTTTGTTCAGAACTAGAATTACTTGAATTTTCTAATTTTTGAATAGAATCAAATGCATGAGTTCCTTTGAAAATGGATTCTGAAGGACATATAGGTAGATCATTGATAACAGTGATTGGATCGATATCTTTAGAAGATACATTATTTGTACAATGTATTGTATTTACAGTTGTATTTGAAGTAACACTAATTGTATTCTTAGTAAATTTCTCTTGAATAAATATATTACTAGTGTTAATATCTTTCGATGATGTAGATTGATGAGTTAAATAACCATTATGAGCAGATAGATAAGTAAGATAATTAGTCCATGTAAAATATCTATTTATAGGCCAACCAGATGGTGGAGATAAATATATACCTCGTAGTTGACTTTCATTAACTGGCATAATTTCCGGCATACCTGCATAAGCAACAAATTGAATTTTTTCAGAAAATACATTGGGATTAGTGATGCTACTGTCGTCTTTCGTTGATTCACTTTCATTATGATTTAAATCATCTAATTCTACAAGAAAATATCGTGAATTGAATACCTGTTGAATAAAATTACGAGAGAGAGAGAGAGGATTTGATTAACAAATATTCAATATTATTTAGAATTACTATACAAATAGCAAAGATATTAAGTTTAAAAACAAAACAAATGTGAGAATAAACTATAGGGAAGATGAAATTTACATTATTATTTAAGCATATAATTATTGGTACGTAGGGGAACCTAACATTTATGCACCACATAAATCAATGAATTTGTCAGTCGGCTGACATACTGTCCAGATACCCAAAGCGAAACGGGCAGTTCTCCTAGGAGGCCGCTCTTTGAGCCGTTAATCTACAGGTCTGATCCATGAGACAGTAGAGAAACATAAGGAGATGCAGTCCCATGATAGCCAGTGACCAGTAACAGATTCATACTCTGTTTGATCCCTCAGGATCTTGGAGTTCATGTGCAACATTGGTATAAATATATAACAAAAGTTTTATAACCATCAGTACATATCATTCCACCTTAAGTGCCGAACATTCACTTCCCGTCCTTTCAATTTCATTAATAATACCGCTGCGATGAATAGGCAGTGAATACGACTTTCTTGGCAGTGGCTTTACACCCACGACCATATGAGGTCATTTTGAGAGGGAGAGCGAAATCTCCTCACTTTCGGTCGTACCGGTGTAATGAACAAAGATATTAGAAAATGTAATCAGTGACTGATTGAAATGAGACAGCTTTATAACAAAATATGTAAACCTTAACTTTAGGCTTTCATTCGCTCTCCAAAGCAATTTAATCGCGCCATAAATCTGGGTCCGACACTTCTCTTCAACAGCAACTTATGGAAGATACCCCGCTGCACGCTACTGATAACCCACGTTGTGAGTAGTAGACATCACAAGGTTTTCGCGGTCAAAAAATAAATTACGGGCGTGTTTATAGTTGGAAATCTGCTGTTTTTCACAATCAAATAACCAATTAAACATTGTTATAGACAACCATAGCTAACACCACTCTAAACCTGATGACACAAGAAGCAGTTGACAAAATCATGTTAAAGAGATTTTTGTAATTAAAAAACCCACTAAAATTTCTTGTCAGACAACAACTTACGTATAAAGTAATATAACTCAAAGCTAATTTAAATGTTTCATGCATAATATATCTTATCTCCTATTAAACAGAATTGCGTTTATTTGAACGAAATTTCGACAGCCTGTCAACGGGAAAACTGCAAGGTAGTCAGCCTAGTTGAAGTGGATTATAGTTTTTGCTTTTGGAATCGGTCAGAACAACAATGAAAGATTGATAACCATCACCTGGTGTCCAGAAAATACAATACGATTAAGTCTTTGCTTTCAATTGACTTTTTAAAACAATTTCAATGTGAAATTCAGACGATTGTTTAAATTAACTAAGTTCGTTAACCAGTCAGTTACGTGTAGATTTGTTTGATATTTTATTACTAGTAGTCCTCGGTTTACGGAACAGTACCGTAGTATGATATTACTATCTAAGCCAATAATCAAGCTGTGAAAATATCTTACTGGGTACAATTACATGAGCGTTGAAGTAGTAAAATAAGTTACACTTATAACTTATGCCTGTTACCGACTAGGATTCTCCAACCAACTCTCTTCTAACCCCATACGGAACTAAATACGTTTTCAGCACTAAACAATATCATAACTGGTAGGATATTCATTAAATATCCTAGGAGAATTATTTTTGTAAGTCTAATTCTACTGGTCAATTTTATGGTCGTCCTAACTATCAATGTCACTTCAACAGTTGTTTCCTATTGGTCGTCCTAACTGTCAATGTCACAGATTTTAGTGTTTCCTATTCGACCTAACTGTATAAATATGCATTATCTGTAACGTTTTATGACCCGGATCCTTATCCTCTTCTGGACTCGGACCTCGTACTTTCTGGATGCTTGTAGAATACATGTTCTACTTCATATCAAGTCTTCTTCTTCTACTTAATGGGGGTTTTGGACGCTCGGATTAGAGTAGCTTGTTGTGTCGCTGGATCCTCGCTCTCGTTTTCTGATTAAGGTAAACTCGCAATAGTTCAAGCATCTCAATTAACGTGTTTACGTGCATGCGTAACAATAACATGATCACAACTTTTTAACAGTACAAATGGTATTAATCAGTACAACTAAGAGGGGTAAACATTATAAATGATGGTTGGAACGAAATACATAAAAGAGACATTTAGAAACAGAAACTTCAACACCATAACATTCGGATTTTAAAGCCAAACAGAAATCTATATTCGCGTGGTTTCTGCTCAATATTGCCTTAGCAAAATGATAACTATCACTAAAAGAAAAACACCTAACTTATCAAAGTTAGAATGCTGATACGTTTAAAATATACAATCGAGGATGGTTTTCGGAAGTCATGAAAAGCATTTACTATTTTAAATGCTAGTATAACTTTTCAGCTTCAAGGGCAGGTTCAGAGTGGTAAGAATTATTAAAAACTTATTTCGACCAGTTTCAATCAAATACACTGAGTGAAAACAGAATACAGGCAAACTGACACTCAAATCAAATTATTTGCAAGCTGTGGATAATTTCAGTTTTTGACAATCTACAATGACAGGATGGAATCGAACCCATAACTTTTTAGTAGGAAGAAATCTACAACGAATTCCCAAAAAAGGAAATGCCAGTACGCTTTGTCAGTTCAACTTTAGAGCTGATTAAACATAAAGATTCTGGATAACTAATAAAAAAAATTTCAAGGTAAGATGTGATTCCACCTGAATGGTTTTGATAGCCGACTATTAGTGCATTTCACTTACCTCATTCAGACTTTAATTTGATATGGATATACTCGAAATTCTCAAAAATCAACAGCTTACTCGAAGATTTTTAATTGAATCACAGTATCGGTTAATATTATAGAGTTTCTGACTTATTTTCAGAAACTTTCAAACACCTTAAGTAGCAGCAATAAAACAGCGTTTGTAACCAAATCACCTTATTAAATGTGAAATATTACTTGAACAATGGTCTAAGGTTTTTTTTAAATAAAGCAAGAATAACTCTGTTTGTAGAATGAGATGCATTTATTGTTTTCGTTCTCAGCTACACATAAATAATTCAATAATTTTAGCCAGTTCAAAAATATGAATATATGTCAAATCTTAATAAATTGGTCATCTATCAGTGAAGAGCAAATTGTTCGGAAGGTGAAAAAAATAATTTAGTCCTGCCATCTTGAGATATGCAAAGTAGGCTTACACCTGGCTTGTCTACTACTTATGATTCCTGTATTAAAGAAGCGAATCAGTGGTTAAACTTGAACCGACTTGGTAACATCAATGACCTTTCATTCTCCGATTGATTAAGATCTAACTTTGAATGCTTCGTTTTTTTTAATAAGTCATGACAATATTACGTAATGATACTATTATCCTTCAATATTTTGGCACTATCATCTAATTATTTATGAAATCTCCGTTAAGAAATTCTAATCCGAACTTCAATTTGCTCTTCACTGATAGACGATCAATTTATTAAGATTTGACATATTTTCATATTTTTTGAACTGGCTAAAATCACCGACTTAATTACGTGTAGCTGAGATGACAGCAACGAAACAATGAATGCATCTCATTCTGCAGACAGCGTTATTCTTGCTTTATTTAAAAAAAAACCCTAAACCATTGTTTAAGTAATAATTTACATTTGGTAAGGTGATTTTTGGAAATAAGCGTTGTTTTCTTGCCACCTACGGTGTTTGAAAGTTTCTGAGATTACTTAGAAACGTCAAATAAACTAATCGAATCTGCATAGAACAAGTAAGTATTTAGAAGACTCATAATCATCATATTCCCTAAACATTGTCGTCATAAGCTATTTGTACTGGTTATTTAAATGTCCCCATTGCTGTTTAGGACTACAACTGACCAGTCTTTTTGGCGACCTGGATAACACGATGACGTTCGAAGCGTAAGGTAATGGGTTCGAGTCCCGGACTGAGCATCAACTCTGAGATGCAGGTACATCTAGCAGATGAGTACCGAATAGGATGAAACGCGTATCCTTGATTCTACTGTTGGCCATTATCCACCTCTGCTCATAGTGGTCGCTATGGTTTTGTTGATATTTTTTATAGGAACTCGTAGTATATAAATTTTGAGTGATTGTCTAATCTGACAAGATGGTGAGAAATCTTTTGTATTGTGTTATCCAATACTTACTATTTTCCATCTGTGCGTGTGTTTATGTATAGACCTTTTAAGTTTCGTCCAGCCGGTGTTTTTTTTATTCCTTTCCTTTTACTGTCATTGATTACTTTTTGCTATTACATGAAGTGTAGCAACTTGGATTAACACGTGTACATTTATGCCAAGTCATACTTGTATTTTTCTGTGTAGTAGAACGACTGTCCATATAGAGAAATGATTTTTAGGGGTTTGGCTCAAAAATTGAATGAGGTGTGATTTGTTTGGTTCAGGTGAACGGTTAAGAAGCCTGATAAACATTTTTAAATTAATAACACAAAACCTATTGTAAAACATACCATTTCGTAGTATTTTGTTTCGAGTTTCACAAACTTATCAACAACTACTATATGTACATATCAATTTAGATGTCAATGTCTTCTACTCTCTTATACTGACTACGGATTAAACATAGAAAATGAAGTAGAATACTGATAAAAACGTATTGATTCACGTCGTAACAGAGATTCTAGCAACATTAAAATTGAAGAATCATATGGCAGATGAACGAATAGATACATCTGATTGTGATGAGACTTCTTTTAGTAAAAGTTTGTTGTAAGTTTACGAATACCACAATGAGATGTAAGTAAGATTACCACGAGATCTCTTAGACCATAACTACAGATTGTCAACCAACACTTTCAATAATAGTAAGACCTTAATGAATGACGGTCTCATTTACTCCAGAAACGATTACTGGTCAAGATGATAGGCACTACTTTACTAATGATTAAGATAAATTCAACTTCCATAAATTTAATCCAAAATATAATGTAACCCAAAAATCACATGTAATATACATTGTGACCTAATCCTTTTTCTATGGAAAGTATGATACTACCTAGCTGCTTTCTACTAGGAAGGAGAAAACATTTAACTCAGTGATCTAGAGATTTTCGGTGAGTGTGAAAAGTCTTTAGTCGTGGTCTTTGCACAATGTAAATCACAAATAATAACAAGAACGAAATACCATATTTTTGAGCTTTATCTAAAAAAAAGTGGAATGACATTTTGAAAACTATGTGCTTAAGTCACTGAGAGACTTTGAATGACATGGCTCAAAATCGTTTGCAATGGCGCAGGTGCATCCATTCTTTGTGTTCTCTCAAGTTCTAATCTTCTGAATTTCACATCACCTTCATCTTTCTCTTTTTAGATTTATTTTACTGCGTTATACTTCTTGAATAATATCTTTGAACCCTAATCTTCTCCATTACCGCTAATACTTCTACTACATTGGGATTTGAACTGACAATTTGGTCTCTCGGTGCTAATGTGATATGGCAACCTGAACTTATGTATGTACGTACGAAGTTGTAACTGACTGACTCTTAAATCACCGAGTCATAGTTCTGTTACTGCACAATATTATTTCTGAAGACATCTGAAGTAATCTGGGAAGATAATTTTCAACAGACATATTCATTTCCAAAAAAGCATAACGCTGAATTTGGTGGGATGACAACATCAATCATATTACACTTTCGATTAAAGAAATTGGGTTAGATATCTTTCGATAACATTTATTGGAGGGATCAATTATATTAAATCGATAGTAAACTTCAATACTGGTATTTAAGCTCCAGGGATGACAACCTCTAATTTCTATTGAACTGTACAGTGGTATATACATACCACTGGCGTTTAGTTCCGAATTCTAGACAAAGCTGGAGATATACCATCTTATTGTCAAGACAAAAATTGAATCCTACCAAATTATCTGGTAAAATAGTCTAAGCTAACTGGTAAAAACAAGAAGACCAACCTTAACAACCGTAGCTGGCTGTACAAAATACGGTCTAAGTGGATTTACAGCTTCCAACTTCCACCCGACTTTGAATTCATGAAGAGGTTGTGTATTGTTGTGGACAGAGAATGCTGACTTGAGTGGAAGTGAATCAACAGATTTAGAAAGGTCATTATTATAAATAGCTGGACAAGCGCCACGTATAAAAGCATCAATATTTGAAATAGAACGTTCCAATATATAACCAGGAGGAGGACGATATTTGAGATCACACAACTTTCCGTAACCAAGTGGATGCAAGCGGCGATTTAGGTAAAACAAAGTGAATGTAGAAAATTTACGGCTTTTATCACACGCCTGTGTTTTCGAACTTGTTCCAAACCATGACAATAGAACGCGTCCACCAATGTTCATGAGTACCTTGAGATAGTTAAATTTAAAAAAATAGAAGCTCACCTTTGCTGGCCAAACACAAGTTGGGTCTAGATCATGTTCGCACTCGAAGTATCCCCCAACACGAATAGTTTCGAAATTGTACAAACAACGTCTCTCAAAGAATGTATTGCACACAGAACGATTCCGTAAACATGATGCCCAATCTGTTTTTTGCCAACAGTTCTCTTGATTAATGAGATGCGAGATCTGATTTGGTGGAGTCCAGTTGGTGTTTTTCGATAGGCACCAACCGATTGGTCGCACAAAATCCCAATTTGGACCTCTAACATCAAACCAAAACGTATTTTTTGAAGGACATTGAGATGTATCTGAGACGGGACATTTATTGGTTTCAGATGAATGTCCTGCAGTTTCCGGTACACACCACTTTAACAAAATAAGGTAACCAGATACTAAAACCACTTCGGCAGGCCACCAAGAATTATTGATGCTTGCTTGCTTTTGTTCAGAAAAACCCTGAGAATTAACTTCAAGTGTTTCTCCTTTTTTAACAAGTGTCTCGAAGCTCTGGGCCACATGAGGAAACAAATTAAATGGAGAAACCTCAGCACCTGTCTCCGAAAGATAAACGTGCCAGTTGAAATTCATACTTGACATCACTTCGGAACTATCTAGTATGTAAATCACACCTTATTGCACATATGTGATATCTTCCTAATGCGGAGTAAGCACAGATGAATCTAGGAAAATAAGAAATCTCATAAACAGTTACTTTTGGATAAAGTTTCATATTTTATAACTTTTATTCGGGAAGATTGGAGCAGTAGTGTGACATATAGTCAATAGGCACCAGTAATATACCTAGTGGAATTATAATAACCACCGAACTTACCAGATAAGTTTTTAAAAATACTGCGCCAAAAAAGGGAAGAATTAGTTTCGTCGTAGGCTTGAGAAGGAAAAAACCATAAGTCAATATCGTTTAGCGCACGGACTGTAGTACCTGAAGTGAAGATAATTGCAAGAAAGGCATAATAGATTCAGGAAAATTTTTATGACAGGTGTGTATGAAAATAAATAGTAGATAACAATACATTCACTTAGTTCTTCTAGAGCTGAAGCCACAAAGACTGTTGAAGTGTCTGAACAAAATAACTCCAATCTTTTAACATGGTTATGAAGTTTGTGAATGTTGGTAAAGATTGAGTTCTGTATAGAGTGAAGACCAGTTAATGGAAATGATCAATAGAATATACCTGAGGAATTCTGTAGATACTGGTGTCATGAATTATATAGCGATACTATCTGCATACTGAAACTGGATGTATGAGATGATTCTAGAATTTTTTTAATTGAATGAAACTCATTTTTAGATTATCGAAACATAAATCTGTAGTAGTAGTATTACAAAGACTTTTAGGACTATGAATGGAATCATTTATTAATATTTTCGAAAAGTAGTAGAACACCTAACTTACATTTCTTGTCTGTTACTTTTTTAGATGAGAAACTAGATGATTAAGAAAAATAAACATTTTGTATTAGGCAAGACTGTCAAATATGGATGACCTTACATAATTTTGACCATTATAATTTAATGTTTACACTATAGCGATAACGTTTACCAAATTAATGAATGAAATCATGTTACATCTTAGTTTCCCAGTCCTAGCTTAATATCGATGTGCTCAAATATCCTTTTAGTGTGAAGTGATATTTTTATAATTGTCTTCAGTGCTTGTATTGTACATGGACATTTTATTAAGTAACTTAAATGTGGTATATAAGAATTTTACCATATTTTTGAAGCTTTTAGTAATATCGCCTATGGAAAGTTATCGGGCAAAGTTATAGCTATCATCTAAATAATCTTGAAATTAGGTACAAAGTTCTGGACAAGGTTGCAAACCTACACCAATTGTGGTTGACCCATGATTTACACTTAAAACTGAGTTACTTGCAGCTGAATTTAAAAGATACTAACAGTGATAAGAAGCCATAGATGATGAATTAAAGATCTCATGGTTACACTCAAAAATGTAGTACTATTTTGTTTGTATCTTCTTCACTTTAGTCATTAAAATTATCTTTTTACTCTCTTATATATGACTTGTGTTGAAATGTAACAACGTGGATCACTACGTTCTACATTAGCTTCCACGCTTTTATGTTTGACTGATAGCTTTTTTGGCAGTAGATTTTTTGAAGTTACCATTTTACGCTGACAAAGGGTTGATTTCATTATGAGCTCAACTATAGCATTTAAACTAATATGTGAGACTGTGTACAGAAATTTTTTGATGTCAACTATTTCTGCAGGTAAAAATGTATGTCTAGAAGTTTAAGCAGATGCAATATCTAGGAGAATTGTTCAATTGGGGTTTAATTACCTTTGGGTTATTTCGGATCCATTGTAAGGTAAGAGATAACATTGAAACGTATGCATCGCAACACTGGATCTATGTGGTTTGTATTCAATCTGCATTAAAGCTATCAATTACTTTTTAACGAAATACCTTTGGGCTAGATTGCTGAGTTATTTTAGTTGAAGTGGAGTCAGCATAACTAATAGTCATTTCCATTGTTTGTTATTCCGATATCTGCGATCGCATATCTGATACTTACTCAACCACTACTTATGAACAACAGACATGAAAGTAAGTGTCATAGGACGGCTGTCATAACGGATAAAAAAACTCCAGATATCTAAAGTGATAAATTTACTGGATATATAACTATTCTTCCATATTATTACATGCCAATAGGTCATACTGAACGCAAATTTGAGGGAAATTTTTTCGAATACTTTTGTGCAGAATTTCCATGCTTTATTAAAAGCTCGTACTATGATTACATAGTTAATTGTTTGTTCATTTTGATTATTATTCAGTGCAGAAATGACGAGGGATGTTGTACGTTAGTAGTAGTTAAGAGTCAGACACACTGGGCTCTTGTATACGAGCAATCAACTAGAATCTTATTTATTACTTTACAACTAAAAGTGCTAATACAAAATAAAATCCTGATCCATATCTAATCAGTCACTGAATGTTGGTCTGAACCATCTTGGAAATAACTTACGTTCGTCCACATGGTTTGAATCTTTGATTACATACTTCAGACCGTAACTGCTACCTTGACGTGGCGGTCGAGCTTACCTATCGTGATGACTCGACCGAGCTATATTGGCTGGAATATACACTCTCTTGGGTCCTACCATGCCAGGCAAGTCGATTGGAGAACGGTAAGACTAAAAGCAGCAACTTAAGGCCTGAGTCATGCTGCTGACTACAGAGGAGTGTGATAGCAGTAAGGTGTTTCCCTAGAAAAAACAGCATTTTCAGCGATGTTACCTTCTCAAAACTAAAAGGAGGGGTTAGAAAAGGTCAACCCGAATAATGTCACACTTCATCTTACTTCACGGATTTCCATCTCAGGTGGTAAGGCCATTTGAAGAGCGGAGGTAATTCAAGTGGTTGTCCTTTGGGCTATGGTCACGTTCCCGGGTCGCTAGGATCAACGCTAATCTAATTTTCTTTTCAAGATCCTTAACAAGTACTCTTTTATGGTGTGGGCAGCCGGGAAGTGACGTACACTCTCGCACCCGTAACAGCACACGAGTTCAAATTAGTCACAATGAAATCCTTCCCATACCTCTTAATAACCCTCTTAGCTTCATAACCAAACCTTCTCACCTTCCTTTATCACCTGGCATCGATGATACAAACGATTCGAGCTGATGAAACGTCATTCTTGATCACCTGAAACCAGGCCCTAAACCACATTTTGGAGCCTTTAAAATCCGGACCTTGAGCCAAATAGGACAACAGGCCTTCTTAGCTAGGACTTTGTAATCTCGCGCCGTTGATGTACGCTGCATTTCCGAAATGCGCATACAGGATCCGAGCAGAATAAATCATTTGATCTATCCTTGTCAAAACAAAAAACCGTGTGGATTTGCATACTTTCAGTGATGTGGCCTAAAGGTAACCTATTTCATGGACTCATACTATTGCATTTGAACTATTCTACACGACATTACCTGCAGATGCACTTGTATCTTTTATCCATTGTCAATTCTTCATATGAAGGTTGGGAAAGGGCTAACTTTGAATGTAACTAATAAATCATTCACTTTGTGGACGTTTGCTGGTTGATTACGCTTGAAAGCTAAAAGCTATTAGTTTTGGATAGCCTAGTACATATACCGATAATTCGCGTTTGTTAAATAAAAAAACAAAATCACTGAAGCTTTGAAATTATTATTATGCACAATTTTCGTCTTTAAGTGCAATTTAAGTTATTATTACTATATAACCATCACCTGCATATGTGTTCCAAGGTGGCTAGCCTAAAGTATGGTTTCGATTCTCAGAACTATTCAAGTTGATTCAGCCCATTTGTTAAGCATAAATATATATCAGTCAGTCAGATAGATGCAACGTAGAGCTTCGTACGTAAGTACATCAGTTCATGTTGCCATACCACATCAGCACAGAGATATAATTGTCAATTCAAATCCAATAGTAGTAGAGGTAGTAAACGTACTGGAAGTAATCGCAGAGGTTAGGATTAGAAGATATTATTCAAGAAGTATGATTCAGTGAGATAAGGTTAGAAAGACAAAACTACAGGTGTTGAAGAATCCAGAAAATTAGGATTTGAGAGAACACAAAGAATAAATGCACCGGCGCCATTGCAAACGGTTTTGAGCCATGTCATTCAGGGTCTCTAACCATCGATTATTATCATCCCGCGGACCCCAAACAGGTAGTCGAAAACTACCAAAATGACTCAGTCCACTTGTCAATGACTTCATGGATTGCTGCTATGTTTTGGTCTGGCCGCCCCTAACTTCCTTCCAACCTACTCCTACACTACAAAATAAAGCTCGTCGAGGCAGTCAGTGGTTAGGCATACGCAACACATGTTCTTACCACCTCAACTGATGAAGTTTCATTACTTCATCTATTTATCTGCCATTCTTACCTAGCACCTGTTTCCTAATAACAGCGTTGCTCACTCGGGTAACGTTGTTATATATATACGATCACGGCAAAGTAAAATTGTCGTTACTGGAAAATGACAAATCCTTAGATATGAAAATAAACCTCTGGTAATATACGGCACCCTATCAGCTACAGTAACTCAAAGGTCGAGACGAGTGCATCAACTTTCACGGCCGACAATGATGAAAAAGCTGTGACGGTGGTCTTATATTAGTTCGTGTTTGTGACCATAATGGTCACAGTAATTTGTGTTAGTTGGTAACATTTGGATACCTAAAGCTTAGAAACGGAGGTCACAGTGACTGTTTAGATACATAAATTATAACTAAATGTTAAGACACTAGCTGCCGTGTGTTTATTTCTTTTATTCTTTGTTAGGACTAGTTCAAATGAACCCCATGATAATTAGGAAAACACAAGTGGTATAGAGCACGATACGAATTTATTAAAGACCCACAATTAGTTCCGTTAGTAAAGTTATTATATCTTCATTAGTTCGGATACTGAGTATTTGACTTTTAATTACCGAGTAGTTCAAATGCAGTAGTAAATCGCTTGACAGCTTAGTGTCCAAAAAAAGCAGTAGAAATATCTCAAGATATAACGCGATAAAATTTTTTACTCCCTCTCTCAACAAAAAAACTACCTGGAAGGAGTGAATGACGAACAAACATCCAATTAAGCGTAGGAACCTGAGCACTCCAAGGTCACACGTTAAAAAGCCCAGGGTCAGGCGTACGGACAGAATGAAATAAACAGTCCTCATCTCGCAAATATAGAAGGAGCACAAAAACACTATTAAAATCATCCTCTCCTTGAAAAGCTTATACATTAGAACGCCGGGCTTTAAATTAATCGAACAACCAATACTTTTTGATTTCTTTGAGCTCTGTTCCTGTTGTTTCAGTGCGGCCCCAGGTACTTCCAATATCCAACACGTGATAGACTATCCACTCGGCTATACTAATCAAGTTAGCTGGTTATTTATCCATAGTTTTGTATGCCTTATAATTCGAGTGCGCTTGTCTCAGGACAGTAGGGTTTCTGGAAAGCAGCTAGTACCACATTACCAGACTATATGTCAATTTTGTACATTGTTGGGAATGAGTAAGGAAGAATTATAACGGTTAGGAGAAGGTGAATGTCTATACAATAATAAATAGACAAATCAGTTGGTCATTGGTAATCCGGGTACTGTCAGAGGACTGAAGTGGAAGGATAAAAGTGGAAACTGAAACGATCAGAATTAGCGGTATGGAGTAAGATGATGAAGACAGAAGATCAGTTTAGAGGCTTGCATCAGACGCAGATGATTCAAGCAGAAGATGACAATCCTTGTGTGAACACACGCTTTTCGAGTCTCCTCTTACATCTATCCATTAGAGGAGTCCAGATCACTTCGATTGGGAGAGCATTTCAAGTGGGAGTAATTTCCAATGAGATAAAGTGGCCGAGTGCCTGAATTTGTGCTCCTTATGGTATTGAGATTCTTGAGTGATTCTCGTGTTGTGGTGACTTGGCCGACCTATTGTTATATATATAATTTTCGGATAACTTCTTATTCCCCTACAGCTCAATAAGAACAGTTCAAAGTACTGAAGTCTCTATCTCAGCGAGATTTATCCCCTAACATTCATACACTTATTTGCCTATCTCTGTACACCGTCAATGAGATTTACGAGGAATGGCCAGATTGTGAACTTGAAGGCGGGTCGTCAATGTACCCTAAGAGGTGTCAGAGACAGTTTGGGTGAATGCGTGAAGTTGCCAGGACCTGAGATAGCCTACACCGAAAATTCTTATGTTGAATCTAACCAACTTGCACGGATTCTACTTAGCCTGGTATGAAACTTTCTGTTCTCCTGGCAGTTTCAAGCCTAGGGCTGAAGGAAATCTGTAAAGATCATCTTCGCAGCATTTACTAATAGAATCATAGGGAACTATGTCGAAATCGTTTAAGAGGTCAGTGAGTGCTACATGGACTGGTATATTTTATTTCAGAAGGCCGTCCAGCGGTCCCATACTGGAGGACACCCGGTGATTTGACTTATCACTTGATCCACGTCTATAACAGCATCTGTCATCAGATTGTCAAACAAGTTAGTTTGACTGAATTAACCAGCTGTGTGGAAACTAACCGTTTGTGGTTTTTAACCCGTGTATTGAATCACACTGGCAAGAACGCGTTTCTACGTTTAATATTTAGGCCGGTTATCCAGATCAGCAGACATCAATTTGTGTATCAGTTGACATACGTGATTTCGTCTCTCACGATATCTAATCAGACCAAAAAGATCATTCTTAGGTCGATATTACGTTTGAATCACCTCACTTAAGTCCTCCAGGTTTCTGAAGTACACTGTCATCAGACACAGGGACTTTACGGTAGTGAGATATGATGTATGAGGTGGCCATGACACGCTTACTGCTATAGCGGTGAAAAGGCATTTACTATTTCATAACTACCATCTTACTGGTAGTGTTTAGAGTGTTTCTAGTCACATCTGACTCATATTACGGAGGACTGTTTCACTAAGTTTCTCTGAGATGTCAGTAGTATCTTTTAGGATACCTGTGCCGAACACAAAGTTACCATTGATGGAGAGAGTTTACTTTACACTAAATTTTTTACGCTTACACAGGTGGCACATTTTTGCCAGCCTATTGCCCATTCCAAGCATTGAGAAGTATTTGTCTCGCTGTTCTTTATCAAGGGCAGTCCTACTTTCTAGTAAGCTACCCTCTGACACTGGGCATTCAATAAAATCAAGGATTTTGTCCCTGATTTGAAGTAATAACACTGTCTTTTCCCTTCTTAGCACTTTCTCACCTCGTGGTACCGAAATAAGATACTGGTGTATTCACAATAACTTATGGTCTCAGTGGTGTAAGAATTTGGATTTTGGCTCTCGTGGTCGCCTTTTCAGCTGATACCATGGCAAACGGGCTGGGTTTATTGGTGGAGATCTATAAGTTCGTTCCCAGTGGGTTCCTTTGCCCCTTGTTAGTTATTTCTGTCAACCTATTAACTCTGCATTGCGAGCATACATTCCAGAACAAAGCGCAGGTGTGGGTCAATTTGAACCATGGTTTTGTCTCGAAACTACAGTGTCTCATTGACAGTGAACCCAACCACCATAAATGCCGCTGGTTTTAAAGATCGACCAACATGCGGTAGAGTCTTTTTGTACGTCCTTTCGCAACAGTAGGCTGTGTCATCGGAAGTTTAAGACGCTCATTAAATTACTTCATTTGTGCTTACTATTCTTTCTTGGAGTTGGAATACAGGTGGGAGTATAATCCTGATTTACTAGTTGGAGATTCACTTGACCTTTTCGAGTTGAGTAATTAGTTTTATATATATATATATATATATATATATATACTATTTCAAATCGTTTTTTAAACTTTTAACATGGTTTTTGAAAATAATCCAAAAATTTTTTAAAATTTTCACAGCGTTTTTTAAAACTTTTTGTAATCCTTAGAATGTCAGAAATAAATAGAAAAAACAACTTGATTTCGAATGAAAAAAGAAAAACTTACTTACTTACTTACTTTCGCCTGTTACCCCCAATGGAGCATAGGCCGCCCACCAGTTTTCTCCAACCAATTCTGTCCTGAGCTTCCCTCTCTAGTTCTGTCCAATTTTTGTTCATTCCTCTCATATCTTTCTCTATTTCTCGGCGTAATGTATTCTTTGGCCTTCCTCTTTTCCTTTCGCCTTGAGGGTTCCATGTGACGGCTTGTCTCGTGACGCAGTTAGGTGCTTTTCGTAGTGTGTGTCCTATCCACTTCCACCGCTTCTTCCTGATTTCCTCATCCACTGGAATCTGGTTTGTTCTCTCCCACAGTTCGTTGTTGCTGATGGTGTCTGGCCAACGAATACGAAGTATTTTGCGTAGACAGCTGTTAATAAACACTTGTATCCTCTGGATGATGGCTTTGGTAGTTCTCCATGTTTCCGCTCCATACAGTAGAACTGTCTTCACATTTGTATTGAAAATCCTGATTTTGGTTTTGGTTGAAAGTTGTTTGGAGTTCCAGATATTTTTCAACTGTAGAAATGCAGCCCTTGCTTTGCCAATCCGTGCCCTCACATCTGCATCGGATCCACCTTGGTTGTCGATGATGCTGCCCAGATATGTAAAGGTGATAACGTCCTCCAAGGCATCCCCACCAAGCGTGATTTGATTGGTGCATGTTGTGTTGCATCGGAGAATTTTGCTTATTCCTTTATGTATGTTGAGACCTACTGCTGCAGAGGCTGCTGCTACACTGGTCGTCTTCTCTTGCATTTGTTGTTGAGTGTGCGATAGAAGAGCCAGGTCATCTGCGAAGTCCAGATCGTCCAGCTGCGTCCTAACTGTCCAGTTGATACCGTGCTTCCCTCCAGATGTTGACGTTTTCATAATCCAGTCGATGACCAGGAGAAAGAGAAAGGGTGATAGTAAGCAACCTTGCCTCACAACAGGTCTTCACCTCAAAAGAGTCTGTTAGCTGTCCTCCGTTCACGATTTTGCAGTTGAATCCATCATAAGAATTCCTTATGATGTTGACTATTTTCTCAGGCACACCGTAGTGTCGAAGAAGCCTCCACAGTGTTTTCCTATCCACGCTATCGAATGCTTTCTCGTAGTCGATGAAGTTGATGTAGAGTGGTGAGTTCCATTCAATTGATTGTTCCACAATGATCCGTAATGTAGCAATTTGGTCAGTACACGATCGATCCTTACGAAATCCGGCCTGTTGATCTCGAAGTTGGGCGTCTACGAAGTCCTTCATTCTGTTTAACAATACTCTGTTGAAGACTTTGCCTGGTATTGAAAGAAGAGTGATGCCTCTGTAGTTTTCACACTTGCTGAGATCGCCTTTCTTTGGTATTTTGATGAGGTATCCTTCTTTCCAATCTGATGGTACTTGTTCCTCATCCCAAATCTTCTTGAAGAGGATGTGAAATGTTTTCGCATTTGCTTCTACATCTGCTTTCATTGCCTCTGCTGGAATGTTGTCTGGTCCTGCTGCTTTGCCGTTCTTGATTTGTCTGATGGCCATACTGATCTCCTCAATCGTAGGTGCGCCAATATTAATTGGGAGATCCGTGGATGCTGCTTCGATGTTGGGTGTGTTCAGTGGAGCTGGTCGATTCAAGAGTTCTTGAAAGTGCTCTGCCCACCTATTTCGCTGTTCTTCAGTGTTGCTGATTACTTTGCCTCCCTCACTATTCACTGTTCGTTCTGGTTTACGACAGTTTCCGAGGAGCTTCGTTGTTTTTTCGTACATTTGTCTCAAGTTTCCGTCTCTTGCAGCCTTTTCCGCCGTCATTGCTAGATCTTCCACATATTTTCGTTTGTCAGCTCTGATGCTCTTCTTCACTTCCCTGTTTGCTTCTGTGTATGCAGCTTGTGCGGTAACGTTCTCCGCTCTTGTTGGGCTAACATTGATTGCTGCTTTCTTGTTCCTCCTTTCTTCAGAAAAAAGAAAAAGCCTTATAAAAAAAGTTATTGAAGATGGATACAGCGTCAAGGATGCGGCATTTCTTACAGATGTAAACTATCAGGCCGCTACAAATATTATAAGGTTGTATAAAAAGGAATCGCGAGTTGAGAAGAAAAAAAACAGGAAAACCATCAAATAAGAAGATATGCGGTGATATTATCAATTTTGTTGAAGA